GGTTTGGGGCTAGCTATATAAAAAGCACTTGAAAATGTATTGTGATAATAGGTCAAACGCGATCAAACAACACTTTGGAGAGATATGCATATATGACTTTTGAGATATAATGGGTGTGGGGTGCCTTCTAATAAAAGAGCTACTATCGGCCTCTTAGCTAGCTTCAAACTAAAACGCATATAGTACAATTTGTAGTGCTTGAAAAGGTGTACACACGTAGTGGTTAGCACTTGTGCAATTACACTCCTACGCAACGCACATATCTCATTGTCAAAATTTCAATACATCTTCACGCATGCATGTGCAGTACAATTACCCATTAGCCTATCCAATGTTCTCTATAACTTCCTGATATAGCCTTAATCGAGTTAGTTTTTCATGTTGAATACGAATATATTTTACCATCTTCCTTTTGACTTCACTGACGTGAGTTAATTTAAAGTCAGAAATAGAACAAAAAAGCTGTCCTTCTATTCATTGAAAAGGTGTATAACCGTCAGATCGTGGTGAAACATTCATTGTAGGGCCAATCATTATTTAAACTAAAATGTATAAGAATCGACGTAGTTTCGACGCTCCTTCAAAATCTGGCGTAGAAGAACGTTACATGTCTTTTTTCGTCCACTTTTGGCTAAAATATTGTCAGCAGACTAGCTTCTTACACGGTCCAGCATAGGGGTGGGACTTCAACTTTACTTTAGCCGTAAAGTTTAAAGTTTAAAGTTGTTTAAAGTCGCCTTTAAATGCCTATTTTTAATGCTTTTACTGCATAAAGCTATTGAGTAATGCTTGTGAGACTCTCTGCAACAGATAAAACTCCAAAACAAAGCATTTAAGAATGACTTTACACAACTTTAAACTCTACACTTTACGCTCATTTAAAGTTAAAGTGTACACCCCTAACCAGGACTCACTCTCAGGTATCGAAAAAGCATTTTTATCACCATTGTATTATAAGGGTTTATAGTTCGACAGAGTTGGATGTGCTTATCATAAATATCACACGCTCGTTTCAAAATTCATCACGAAATAAGAAAGATTCGAAGGCTGTTCTGAAAGCGTTAAAAACAATCTTTGACGTAAAAGCCCATTAAAATCTCTTCTAGATTAGTTGATAATAAGCGTATTCGATGCAGAAGTCTTTTCTATTTCAGAATCTAGAAGAACATCTTAGATATTCAAACATTTACCTGTCAAAACATGAATTCGATCATGACAATTTTTTAAGTTTAGCCACCTGCAATTTTGGCTATATATCGTATTTTAGAAGTTCAAAACTTTCCCCCCACTGCTCGAGCGAGTATTTGATGAAATAAATCTGTCAATATATCATTGACGGGGAGCAGAGACCAACATGTGGTGGAGAAAAGTCTTAGAAACAATCTTAAACGCATCTAAGTCTACTAAGTGCTTTAAACTTGATTCCAAACGTGATATTTATTTGAAGTCGAGCAGAGATTATTCTGTTCGAAAATTGTTGCATTGCATGTCAGTATCAAACAAAGGCATAAATCGGGTCTCGAGAATACCGGAAAGAGAAGGCTGCTTTACTAGACACCAGATTTTAAGTTAAAAGTATTTTTATCAGAAAGAGCACATTAAATTGACTTTTCTTACAGAAAACTTTGCTTGTGCACACGTAGAAACTATGACTTCATCGGAGTGAAAAGGTCGCTCTTTGCGGCAATGATGCTCGATCGGGACGATATCTAGCATCTATCGACGACAGGCAAACGTTTGAATATCTAAGATGTTTTTATAGATTCTGAAATAGAAAAGACTTCTGCATCGAATACGCTTATTGTCAACTAATTTAGAAGAAAGTTTTATCGAATTTTACGTGAAAAATTGCTTTTAACACTTTCAGAACAGCCTTCGGGTCTTTCTTATTTCGTAATAAATTTTGAAACGAACGTGTGATATTTGTGATAAGCACACCCAACTCTGTCGAACTATAAACCCTTATAATACAATGGTGATGAAAATACTTTTTCGATACATGAGAGTGACTCCTGACGTGAAAATTGATGTTGCGAAAAAGTACAAAATAAACTTGAGAAAAGTTATCAGAGCTCAACGTTGATGGTCACACTGTTAAAGCTATTTAGGTTAGATCTTTCACGACACTGTATCCGTAATTGGACACATTTCCTTTGGTATTTTGACCTGAACAATCATGATACATCACCAGCGTCGCTTGTTTAACTTGTCAGAGCTACGCTAGAATGGGTTAACATTTTAGATCGTTGGATATTCAACCAAAAACTGTCATTTTTTGTAATAAACCCGTGTCTCTTAAACAATCCCTGCTGTCGGTCAACTCATGAGCCGTCTCTTATTTGCAAAGCATTTTTGATAACGAAAACACGCTTCCGATACATAGAACAGTGATCTATGATGGTAATATGAGCAGAAAACTATACTGAGTCAAACGAATTTCAAGTGGTTCCAAATGATTCCTGTGATCCCGATGATTATAACGTCATCGAGTCAGCTCCTCTTCGCAATAGCGACATGAATGTCCGCAAACTTTCTAGTACCTTAGTGTTTTTAAAAGAAAAGTTGTTGAATCCACAACTAGAGAATGGCAGAATTTGAACAACGAAAAGTAGAACAATGTGTTAAAATTATTTTTATAAAAAGAGATTTATCACATGTGTGCTAGCAATGAGGTCAGTTCATTAAATATTTCATTTCATACAAAGATTAGACTTAGTTTGCTTCATTGAGGTACGTTTCCAATTTACTTACTTTTGATTTTCAGTAGTTACGTTATTATAACAATGATACCCGCATCACATATCTCATAATCGCACATACTGTGTCTATCACATATAGCTATTCGTTACACTGCTATTGTTGAGTATTTCTTCGCATTCATACAAATTTTGATCTACAACTTATGACAATATAACTTGATGATAGTCATAGTGGTAGCTCTACCTCCCTATCCTTCTTCGAGTTTTGATTTCTGCATTTCTGTCAATCATTCACTATCTTTGATAGTTCCTATAAATTTTACAAAAAGTAAATCTCTGATTTCTGCTTTTCTACTGATCATCGAAATAGATGCATAGAATGAATACTTATTATCTGAGTCTTGGATAGATGCTAGAAAATTTTCAAAAAGTAAATCTCTGATTTCTACTTTTCTGGTCGTCTGTGTAGATTTCGTCTTGAAAAGTCAGAAATCAGAAATCAGAGATTTTCTGAAAACTGGTAATAATTTGAGATTTGCCACGACCTCTCATTGGTTAACAATATCACTAATCAAACAACTGTCAAGTTCGTGGTAATGCGTCGTATCCGTGCTAGATTCATCGCATTGATAAAGATTACGATATTTCAAAAAGTTGAATTTTCATATAAGTCGATATTGATGAGAAAGAATGATAATAAGTAAGATGTATCTGTACTAATCAGAAGCGAGAGGTCTCTGAACAATCAATATGACTACTTCATTCATTTGTTACACTATAAAAAATGCCATGTGTCTAACGAGACATGTTATCCGTCTTAAGTCATATTCAGGCGCGTACTACACGCGAAATGCGTCTTGTTTTTTGCCGTTTATGTAGGTTAGACCGGAACGCGTCTTAATTATTTCATGACTCTTCACATGGCCACTACGGTTAACCAATCACCTACATTCAGTTACTTTCTTTCTCGTCTTTTTGTTCGTTTATTTTCCTAAGTGAAAACAAATCGTACTCAATATATTAAAATTAAATCCTTTTATTTTTGAAAACCAAGGTAGTAATGTATTTTTTTCTTCGATGATTAAACTTTCAGACCTTTTATCATCTAGATATCAATATTATTTTACGAGTAACTATCTTAGTATTATTTTTGTCTTCTGAGTTTTTAACAGGTAACACACTTTTTGTGGTCGTGTACATGGATTTCAGTCATTTCTCTACTTAAGAATTACTGTAAACTCTGATCGAAAGTTAACATTTTTTTAAAAAGATAATCGTATAAAGTTAATTCTATTGTTTTTTTAGATTTTTGCGGCATTTTTTTCTACATTCATCTTTTTGTAGTTATTAAAATCTTTTCTCATATCTACGTAGAATGGCTCTATAGAAAAATTAATTTTTTAATTTTTTATTTAATTCTAATATACATGTACATAGTGATTTCTATCTGTTTTAGATAATATTAAAACGGTACATTTTAACTTAGTACAAGCTATTTTATAATTAAGATTTTCTGAAAAGCACTTTGATTCATAATACAACTGTGATTCAAGTTAAGCAAAAATAAGACTGAATTAGGCACGCACTAGACAATCAAATAGACTAAAAATACTGATGGAATTTTGAAACTCAATTTTTTTCAAATGCTCCGCTTTCTCCATTTTTCTAAGATCTGACTTTTCTAGACACTTCATATCTAATCTGAGGCTCACTAATTCTAGAATAGATATACGATTTTATATGAACAATAGGCATATTAAAAAATATTTTTAATAAGAATTTTTTCATAAATTTCATTTTCAATTCAAATTTAACACAGTAACTAAACAAATATTATTTTTAAAATTATGATATTTTTTTTCACTTGCCATGAAATTAGAAAAAATAGTATCATAATTTTTAGAAACAATGTTTGTTTAATTACTGTGCTAAATTTGAACTGAAAATGAAATTTATGAAAAAATAGTTATTAAAAATATTTTTTAATATGCGTATTGTTCATATAAAATCATATATCTATTCTAGAATTAGTGAGCCTCAGATTAGATACGAAGCGTCTAGAAAAGGCATTTGCAAGACGCTTCCTTAGATTGGTGAAAATGACTCAATCGGAAAATTTTAAGATACGTCAGTGTCTAAAATCGGTTATCCGTTGACATTTGAACTGTCTTAACAAGATGTCTTGCGATCAATCAGAAATTTCTTAGTGTCTTGTCTAAACGCATGAACCGTCTTACTTGTACACTTCATGTGTCTTGATTTTTTAGAGTGTTTTCAGTCAAACTATTAATTAGTGTGGTAATGGCATCTCCTATGAAAATTATCAATTTTTCTCTTGGTACAGAAAAATTTAGATATAAATTTTCATGTAATGCGTCGCGAAATTTAATTGATGATACAATTCGCGATGAATTCAATTTAGCGAATAATGTTATATATTTCTTGATCGATACGCGAGATAATACCTTCGTTGACATATCGTCATTACGCTATCTTGATGATGAATCAAATATTATTGTAAAAATACGAGATGAAAAAAAGTTAAAAACAAACAGTTGTACTGACATGCAGTGAGTCACCTCTTTTCTCACAGAGACTAATCATGCATGTAATTATTTCAGAAATGGAACTTCTTCTAAAAATCGACATGTTCATGGTGGAAACCATTCAGCTGGTAACTTTTTACCGCTAACTTATATTTGTCTCGTAGTTAGTTTTTAGGAAGCATGCTCTTAAGTGATAAAAATGAAAAGTTAATCATCTCAGATTTATCATCGAGTAGTTCAACAAGTGAGAGTGACGCAAGATCAACATTACATTATAAAAACACGGTCTTGACAACCGGCGTATTGAAGATAAACGAAGCACAAAAACGTCGGGAATTAAAACTCATGTGTAACAAAAAAATATGTTATTTTATTGAAAAATATGCAAAAGTTGATCGAGGTATCATTTTCACACTAAACCATAACAAAATTTATATTGTTGGAAAATTTAGTTGATAGTGTTCGCCTGAAGAAGGAAATATTATGTAACCTGGATCTTCAAATACATGATTTATACAATTTATTAAAGTTTATAAGGAACAAAATGGATTTGCCATCTTTAGAATTAACTAAAGATAATTTGATTAATGTTCTTTTTCGCATTTACCATAATAATTATCTGGAGAATGATTGTAAGTTATCATATATTTTATAATACCTTTATCTGCATTGCTTATCTCTGGAAAACTAGGTATTACAACGACAGAAAATGATGATCATCAAATACAATCATAAATCCACGTCGATCAAAACAATCGCTTGTCAATTTATATCGGAAATATAGATGTATGGAACCGAAAAAGGCTGTCTTAGTACAATATCTATAAATTATACTTTGTACTCCTTTTATATTTAGCATCGACGGGTTTTCATGTGTACATACTATATTTCATTGTCAGATAAAACATGCTCCAGAGGAAAAGTTTCTTCACTTGGTTTTATATTATGTCTATGAGCGTTCTGTATTGTTTATTGCTTGTTCATTTGACTATTTCTGCAGTACACCAAACTTTCTTTGATTCTATAATATTTTACAATTTTATTATTTCTGCTTCGAAAAAAATCTGAATTTGATGGTAACAGTTACTTCATTCAACGAAATACACATGCACCCAGGTTGTAGAGGTACGGCGGGCAATGGTTGGAAAGCCTGGAAAAGTGGAAGCAGTATTCTGATCTGGAATTGACGGATGTTTTTCCGGTGTATTCTGGCCAGTTGCCTGTGCGTTCCGGCTGGAAGTTGACCGGCATACACCGGGAAAGCATCCGTCAATTTCGGACCGGAATAATACTTCCAGGTTCCAGAGACTTCCCGTGTTTTTCTCCGGAATACAGTGATTTCTCCGCATCTTTTCGGTCGGTTCGTACAGTATTCAGTGACCGGAACGATCGACATGGGCATTAAGCTTAGTCCCGTCGAAATTTTGATTTGAGTTTATTGCATAGTAAAATAAACGGTCCGTTCTCCTTGTAAAACGTAGAATATAGAATCAAAACAAATAGTCAAGTTTCCCACTGATTCATACTATGACGAGTCAAGACTAGGTGTGTGACAGTGTCAGTTCAGTTTCGAACATCGGGAGCTTTTCACTAATTCAGCACTCAGAAACTTGAGGGTGTGAGTGTAGATGTCAGTGCGGGTGTACTGAATTCCGGAATCGATTGGAATTAGATGGAATTGGTTCCGGAATGTTCAACATTGCGAAATACGATGTATTCTCATATCAACAATATAAAAAGCGTGAATCGATCAAATCATAACTTTGGGAAATAGTCAAGATCAAAGTTTGTGAGCTTACCAAAATATATTATGGTTACTTCCATTGAGACCCGCTGTTTTAAACATAATGAACATTTGTAACCGACTTATTTGTCAATTAAATCAATGATTATGATAAGGATAATATTAAATTAAGAAAACAAAATATCGATATTGTCAAAGAAAAACCAGAAGACCAGTAAAAACAAAAGAATCATTACAGATATGTTCTATTTAGTTATTTGAGCATACGACGGCATAGTTTACGTTGACGCTTGTCTGATTAGTCCATCGTTTAAGTTTTCTTTTCTGTTAAAATAATTTATTAAATTTCACTTTTTTTATTTCAGTTTATAGTCAAATTTATACACTCATAACACTTTATTAACGTTCGGGAAATCCTCAAGAGTCCGTTTGTTTTCCACAACAGTGAAGAAATTTGTGAAAGACGTATACACAGGGTTTTGTTGATTCATCCACGTTCGTTTACGAAGACGCTAAAAGTTATCGAATACAGTAGTTTTGTACAAGAAGCACTTTATAAAGTGTGACATGGAATTAATTTGCAACTTTGTCCCTGAAAGATGAAAGTTGAGATGTTTCGCACATCGGTAAAATACAAAAGCTCAAACTTTCTATCGAAAGTAATTTTTCAGACCTTCCAAAGTTTCCGTCACTACTCCAGAATAAAATCTGATACGAAATTCGGAAGCCTGTGCTCAGAAAGAGTACTAAATTCTGTTTTTAAATCATAGGTTTCGATTCATCTGAACTACTTTTAGATGGACCAAAAACCAATGATAAATATTCCCACGTATATCGGAGAGAAATTTATTTGAGTTGAAAAAATAATACCGAAACAAGTAATGTCCAACAATTATTGTACATTAATGAAGCTTTACATAAAATCGTCTTCGCTTTTGATCTTTGTGAGAGATTAGAGAGAATAAGAAGATTTTCACCAGGATTAGAATCGATTTCAATAAGGCTATACGTGCCTCAGCTACTTCCTAAATCAAAAACAAAAAAAAAATTTTGTTTTGATTTTCAGATATTTTTTGACAAAAAAATCTCTTCTTTCATTTCTATTACAGATTTATTTCTGTTTTATAACTGACCTCTCGAGATATACTTCAAAGATCATTTAATTATATGAATTAAGAAAATCGATATTTCATTCAACTCACTTTTAGCAGCTACTCATTTAAATAAAATTAAAAAAGATTTCTTAGCAAAATATTTTCGAATGCTCAATAGTAGTCTGCATTTTCAGAGAATAATAATGAGCGACTTTATTCTTTATGAACATTCATCTGTAATTGAATATATACGTACTATCTATATGATTGTGCTGAAAAAACAGTAGGAAAAGGTCTAACTTTGGTTTGTAACAGAGTATAAACTTTCTCTAGCAGGAGGAGAAATTGAAAAACGTTTTTCAACATTAATGTCCAACACACATCGCAATTATCGTAGATACCTACGAATTCAGTGTTTGTTCTCTATATTAAGGATGATGATCTCGCATATGCTCCGGAACAAGCAACTCAACTGAATCCTTTAACAATGTGAATGATGCAAGTATTAATCGCGTGTTTAAGAATTATTTACATCGTCTTCAATCATTCACATTTGATAATTCACCTCCTACACAAATGACATACGCTGTAAATCCTTATACGTTATCAATTTTTTCCTTTTTTTCTATTACAATTGAAAATGCTGACTCTCTTCTACATATTTTTCTAATTTTTAAATGAAATCAATGCAATTAATATATTTTGTTTTACCAACAACATTTACTTCTGCAAATTAGCAGCTATAAGACTTATCTTTATTGCGCTGTATAATACCGAATGAATGAAAATATAACTTATATAGTTGTGCAATAAAAGCGAATGCATTAGGCAATTTTATTACTTATCGAAACAAAGACAAATAAATATATTATTCTTACGAAGTAAAGATAATAAAATTGAAAAAAGGAAGGCCCTTATAATGTTCAATTTTCTCTCAATATCTATAAAACAGTTGTGATGTCATAACTACAAAAATTACGTTGATCATATTTTTTACATGTATCTTCTCCCGTAGGATCCTCAATTATTAACAACATAAAATATTGAGGTGCTATAAGTAAGAAAAATAATGTTTTTATACCACATATTTGTATATTTGTTTATCATAGAAGAAGCTAGAGCTTTCTTTAACTTTGCTTATTATGTTTATGTCATGAATTGGCGATGCATCAATCTATATTTGATCGACTGATCATGGATGCAAACGTTAGCTGAATATATTGTTAAAAAACTGACCACTCCTCTACTCATAGAATTCGAGTATTAAAACCTGCTACGCTGCTGCATTTCCTGCAGTTTAAATGCTGAAGTAGTTAAATCTAAGAAATGTTGAAGTTCATTGCGTAAGCAAGTGCGAAACACTGTATAATATTATTTCTCAAAATAAAATTGATTACCTCTGATTGAAAGCTTTCGGCGCGAGGGATTTTCATCTCCGTGCACGTTATTAAGAAAATGCGAGAAGATACGGAAGCCTTTAGAGAGAATAGTCGTCCAGGAGTAGTAAAGGCAATAGCATATTGTTTTGTTGTTGAAATTTTATTTAAACCGTTTTGTCATTTAAATCGTCCGGATTATGCGCTTTTTCTCAAAGGCCCTTTTTATTTGTAAGTGGAAAATAAGAGAGCAACAGTGATATTAATATCTTAAAGGCCAATTTTACTTTTTGTCTCCCTCTCGCTCTCGCTTAAGAAAAGATGTATTTTTCAACGTGAAAGATAAGAGCAAACAATATACCTGCAACACTCTTACCGATACTGGAGTTGCAAACATTTGCTATTACCTCAAATACGTCATGTTAACACATCCAATATAATATTAATGCAAGCTTTTGATCAGAACGAGACGGTTGTCAAGTCAAACACTTATAATATATCTAAAAAAGTATGTTGGGTGATTTCAATCGTAATTGGAATTTGTCTCGTAGTTTTAATCGCATTGACTGCTTATTTTGGTGTTCGCTCATCCAATGAAACCATTGTATACGTTGAAGCCACGTCATTATCGACAAGTTCTACAAATCAGAATGAAATAACAACCACACCGAGCCGGAATGAAGTAACAAGCACTACGAATCAGATTGAAACAACAACCACAATAACTCCTACTCCGCCTGTAGAACGAATACCAACGAATTTGAAACCAGTATTATATGAATGGACAATTACCCCCGATCTGGTTAAAGAAACATTTGTTGGTAAACAAGTTTTTTTTATCTAAAATTCGAAGAAACACAATTGTATTAACTTAAAATGAGGAAAAAAAGAACGGTTTACTATTTTCTTCTAATTAATCGAATAATTGACGGGCATTTTTCCAATTGAGTGATTCTTTCTCTTCTTTCATTTCCGATTGTAGGTGATCTATTATATACATTTACATGCCTTGAATCCACAAACAAATTAGTTCTTCATATGGTTGACTTGAATATAGATAACTCAACCATAGCCATCGTTAACTCGTCGTCGTCTAGTATGATGCCTGCGTTTGATTCATGGTCCTATGATGATTATAATCAGTTCATGATAATCGATTTCTCGTCCGATTTTCAACCGGAGACAATCTACACAGTTCATATCGTTTACTGGGCTGCCGTTGATAGTGATCTTGAAGGTCTCTACTTAAGTAACTATGTTAATGCCAGTGGAACTAGCCGAACATTTCTAACCTCTCAAATGGAGCCCATATATGCTCGCAGTGCTCTTCCATGTGTTGATGAACCCGCCCGCAAGGCGGTATTTCGTATTACTGTTAACCATGATCCTTCGTATGTTGTATGGACGAATGGCGAGTTAGAACGCTCGGATACATTGGTTGATGGCCGAGTGAATTCTTATTTTGCTCCAACATTAAACATGTCAACATATCTCTTGGCGTTGATTGTAGCATCTAGAGCAGACTTTGCCTGTCTACCGGATCGTGTTATTAGTTCGAAGAATATTACATCGAGAACATGTGGACGTACTCAAATTTTACCACAAATTGCTTACGCTGATGAAGTAGCGTTCAAAGCACTGAATTTTTTCAATGAATATTTCGATATCGATTATGCACTGCCTAAAATTGAACACTTCGCCGTACCGGATTTTGAAGGTGGTGCTATGGAAAACTATGGCGAGTATTTTTTATTTCATATAAACTACTACACAAAGGAGTATCACTACGTTTTTCATATCAATCTTTGATTTTAGGTTTATTAATTTATGCTGAGCCTGGCTTGGTTTTCGACGAGAAAACTGGTTCTACGTCACAACAACAATATGTAACCTTGATTGTAGCCCACGAAATAGCACATCAATGGTTCGGCAATTTAGTGTCACCTGCTTGGTGGGGAGAACTGTAAGTCATTTCTTTCTAATGTTCCTGTTGTTGCTAACCACAATATGCAAATACGTATTATATAGATGGCTGAAAGAAGGCTTTGCCAATTATATGGAAACGGTAGCATCTGATTTTATTGAGCCTTCATGGAGACAAGAGGAACTGTTTGTTATTGAAAAAATCTTTTCATTTATGAAAGCTGATTCATTGCCAACATCACGACCGATCAGCGTTGAATCGACGAATCTAGCTGATATATTTCTCATGTTTGACAGAATAACCTATGACAAAGGGTCATCAATCATTAGAATGATGGCTATGTTTTTAGGCGCCGAAGTTTTTCAACAAGGTATTCGAAATTATCTAAAAAGTTTGAGTTATAGTTCAGCAACACAGCAAGACCTTTGGCGATATTTGGCTGAAGCTACAAATAATACAGTCGATGTGGAACGTATTATGACAGGATGGACACATCAAGCAGGCTATCCAGTCATTGAAATTAATCGAATATATACGAAAAACGACCAACAATTACAACCGCAAACAGTTAACGGTGAATTAATAATAACTCAACAACCATTTAATCTTTTTCCATCGACGACAAAACAAGAAACATGGTGGGTTCCGTTCAAATATGTCGATCAAGCAGCACTTGAAGTATTCTACTGTTCGATTTTTGCATAGAATATCATTTTTGTTTTCCTAGCTATCGACTGAAAGTCCACTCGTATGGCTCAATAGCACGTCAACAACTTTATCAATAACAACTTCCGATTCAGATTGGATCATAGGAAATCCGAATTATTTCGGCACATATCGAGTCAAATATGATCCAAGAAATTTTCAGCTAATTCTAACTCAACTTCAAACAAATCATACACTCATTCCAGTTATTAATCGAGGTGCTCTCATTGATGATACATTTGCGGTATCACGTGCATTTTTAATCAATGCCACCGATGCCTACAAATTAATTGACTACCTTAAAAATGAACGTGATTTTGTTCCGTGGACAGCAGCATTTTCGGCAATCGATCAGCAAGAATATTTACTGGGCGACGATGAAATATATCCTGAGATACAAAGTTATTTTCTCAGTTTGGTTTTACCATTGTACAATAGTATTGGTTGGGGATATATCAATCAAACAGCAGATTGGCGCCGAGCATTGCTTCAACCAAAAGTTCTTCGAGCTGTTTGTTCCTTTGGTTATCGAGAATGTATCGATAGAGTCAAAACTGTGTTTGGTCAATGGTATTTAAATCCTACGGAAAATGGAATACCGACTAGTTTACGCTCACTTGTCTATTGTTTTGCGGTTAGTGAAGGTTCTTATGAAGAATTTCAATTTTTATGGAATCGTCTAGAAAATGAAGTAGAACCCATTGAGACATCGAATCTACTCAATGGTCTCGCTTGTACAAAAGATCGATCACGAACCGTTTGGTTTCTTAACCAACATTTGAAAAATGGATCTGTGATTCGTGAACAAGACATAACAGATTCAATTGCTAATGTAGCTTCTTCGCGAGATGTTTATCCGATTGCTTGGATATGGATTCAGGAAAATTGGTCAAAGTTATTTGCAAAATGGGGGAAAAGCGATTCTGGTTTAGATGATGTTATCGATGAAATAACTAATCGGTTTGTAACTGTTCGACAACTAAATGAATTTAAAATCTTTGCCGATTCAATCGTTGATAAAGGTAAAACTTTCATATGGACTATTGCAATAATTGAATGGGTCGAATGCTGTTCTTTCTATAGGTACTGTTTATCGTCAATTTCAACTTTCACTGGATAAAATCAATGCGGCTATCGCTTGGAACACAGCAAATATCGCTTCAATAACTGAACTTATTCGATCGATGAATGATTCATCCACTATGAGCCATCGTCTTTCTTCTTTCGCTATTCCTCTTCATAATGATTTGCACTAGAGGTGTAAGCCAACGAGCTGATTGGTAGTGGCAACTGTGAATTTTAAAACTAAATAATGTTTTAAATGAAAAGAAACTCTTGTTCATTTTGTATGTTACGATAATCAAGGTATTAGATATGAGCGTTACGGAGATAGGTACTGAATTCTTAAACAACTTTCATATGCATCAAGAGACTCAAAGTTTCTGAATATATACATACTGAAAAGGCGATGTCTACAATAAAAACTGTTAGCGCAATGCCGGTGGGATTATAATGCAAAATACTATGTCGCTCGTGTCAGTAGTCACAGGTAATTGAATGTCGAAACCGTCAGAGATAGAATCATCATGAACAAGCTAGTAATGGTTGATTTTACAGAGCCATAGCTACAATATACAAGATGTACAATGTTACGAATGTTTTAAATAGGCAATGCTAGAAAGGTGCTTTGTACCAGCACGCAATTCAAATAATTCAATTTCACCACTTTTGTTTTCCATCTTTTTGCCTTCAACTTAAATCAATAAACTAATGAGCACCGATCATTTAATTGTTTCACGAGGAGAGGGGGTAATGCCTAGTTATTTGGTAATTTTAGTATCATTAATTAAGATAATGTTAGGAACGAACGAGCAACTGATAATTGAGAGAAAACTAACAATCACACCTGGCAATCGGAATATCTTCTTTATCTTATTGTAATAATAATTTTTTTGTCAAGAGAATATTGATTGTTAGGTTTATACAACATTTTGAGAAATTTAAGGCTAGTAAAATTCATAGAAAGAGATAGGAAATCAAAATTCTGTTCTGTTCTGTTTATGCAACCATCGTGTTCCGCCATCATTCGTTCCTATATTTTATTGCATGTAGACAACGATCCAATCATGATGCTCTCAGGGTTTATTATCTCTGTGATGGGGGAATTACCTGTCGGTAACGGTCTGTGGGGGATAGTTGCATATTTCTACCCTAAACACTTGAACACTCCTTTCAGGTCGTGTTCCACAAAATATGTGAAAACCGGTAAATTAAAATTTCATTCATCATAAAAGATGTACCTCTTATAGTTTCTGTTTTCTTTTTCTTCCCCGCTCTTCTTTTATTTCTCTCTTTTTCTAATTTTCTGTTTTATCCAATATGCGATTCTTACAGGTCCTTGATAATGTTAAATGCTCATATCAAACGTTCTTTTAAATGTATTTATTAAACGGTAAAGTTAAATGTTTGCTCTATTTTATATAAATGTGTTCTATCTTATCATTGTGTAAAGTGTTATTCTCAGGGAGGAAGACGGGAAACGAAGACAATCGATGATGTTTCACCCCATATATGAAAGAAACAATTAGAAGCTACCTCTCTTACTCACTCTTTTTTTTCTTTTCTTTTTTATACATATGTGAATCATTCACGGAACAATAAACTATATACAAAAAAAAAGTTCTTTTAATCTTTAATACTGTAATTTATTTTTAAAATAGAATCTCTAGAACAACTTTAAAAAAAAGAAAAACCATTCTTTTCCTGCATCACACAGAAAAACAGAGAAAAATGCTCATTATTGTCATAAGAAGTCCACCATAGATACCTTCCCGTTGTGCCCCATTGTAATCAGGCGTAGTTGATGGGGTCGATACAGCAGGTGTTGGCGTAGTTGATGGGGTCGGTACAGCAGGTGTTGGCGTAGTTGATGGGGTCGGTACAGCAGGTGTTGGCGTGGGCGGTGTATTTTGCTTAATCCAATCGTGATAGGCAGCAACTCGTGTGTAGACACCGGAGTAAGATGGTCGTGCGCAACCTATTCCAAAGCTTGTGATACCGACTAATTCCCACACCTTTGTATCTGGACGAAACATCAACAGAGGTCCACCGCTATCACCTTGGCATGAATCTATCGAATTAAGAGAACAGGAATTTCAAATTTGCAGTCTAGTTTTGTTCTAAGTGAAGCGTGTGAAATGTAGCTTACCTTTGCTTGGAGCAGAAGCACACATTTGTGTCTGTGGATCATTGTTTTGTGCTGGTATCGGCGGATTTGCTGGAAAACGACATTTCGAATCGTCTTTATCAATTGCTTGTAGTGTTACCTGTTGAAGGGTATTCGATATTACGTCACTCGATTCCCATAGAACACCCCATCCAATTGCAATTAAATCTGTGTTTGGCAATGGATACTCTGGATTCGCTAAATCAGCTGGTGGCGTTGAGTTGAGAAACGGAAGGCAGACTTTTGAAATGAATGAGTTTCGATTAAAATCAATTGGTCGACTTAGTGTTAGTATTGCTATATCATGCCCGCCTGCAATATCGTCCTTGTCGTAAGCCGGATGAATTTTGGCGCCTTGCAGACTATGGCTTTCTACATTTGGACCTGGATTTGAGATAACATTGAGACCGACACGAACCTCAATGTCATAAATAGTGAATCCATATTCTGCTAAGTCAGCAATGCAGTGTGCTGCTGTCAGGATATGGTATTCGTCTATCACTGTCCCACCACAAATATGTGGATTCTTTGAGCCTAACTTAAGAGAGGCAACCCAACCCCAAGCACCAACTGCCGCTGTTTCACCATTGACGATACGAGCATTCACAACAGTTGTATCATATTTTGAGCATCCACATCCTAGGTTTCTCTCACATGTATACATTGTTGCATTGAGATAGGTAATCGTAGCAACGACAACAACAATGACAAAGGTGTTTAAAGTAGACATGACTTTTTCACCTTTTTTTTCTAATACTGGCTATCAACTAGCTTCGATTCCGTTTAAATAAGAATCCTACTTCCTACATTTTCTCTAAAAACAAGAGATAAAAGTTGAATCACAGTATGCAATGATAAAATATCCATGACTTTTTCAGTTGTGAAAGTATGTTCTAGAAATAAATAAGTAAATCTCTGACTTTTGATAAAACAAAAAGATAGTCAATAGAAAAATAAAATTTTTGAATCACAGAATTTCTCTCTTTTAAGATAACAGAAGACATGTAGCAGTTTGAAAGCGGTAGAACTGTTTATTAGTCCGAAAAGGTTTTTAGCGCAGTCCTCTTGGGATTTAACTTTGAAGCTCACATATATCCCCCTGGGAAAAAATAGTGTTACTCAATATTTTTAATAAATCATCAGTATAAATTAACATTTTGAGAATGTAATTATCTATTCAGATAGCCCGTGGAATTCTCTAAAACTCTATGTACGTACGCTTTGAATTTCACTTGTTCGCTAAAAATGAATTCAAGCTCAGTAAAGGCACCCTCATTGTCAGATTCCCCGAAAATGCATTTTCTGTTCTTTTAAATATAGAACAAGTTATTACAAAAGTAGATATATATCCTGAAAGCGCGTGAAATTCTCTATTAGTCTGTGCTTTTGTCAACCTTGACTCGGAATTGTTTGATGGCAAATCTTTCGAGTATTGTTAATGTACTCACGCATCACGTTTCTAGGTCAGACGTTGTTGGGGTGTGGGTGTGAATAAGCTGCCATGATTAAGTTATTAGAGCTATGAAAATCTGCTTATAAATTTTACGAGATTTAATTATTCAGTATAGCAAAAGAAAATCGATCGATTTTTTGTAGTTCTTAGAATTCATTTTATAAAAGCAGTTCAGCAACATCATTCAACTACAGAACACGGGTAAGTTTATAGATTTTTAATAATCATCGTTCTAGGAAAATCAATATTTTTTTCTTTATGAGTAGTATTTTTGAGAAATTAAAGATTAGTAAAATTCATAGAAAGAGATAGGAAATAAAAATTCTGTTATGTTCTGTTTATGCAACCATCGTGTCCTGCCATCATTCGTTTCTATATCTTTATTGCATGTAGACAACGATCCAATCATGGTGCTCTCAGGGTTTATTATTCTTGTTATATGAATAGTAAATATGATTATTATAGTATAAAACAAATTTTACATTGATGATCAATTGTTGAATTATGTGTGGTAAATAAGTTTCTTAGTTTTTTTTCTAATATACTTTCATGTGACGAATGAATCCCGAAAGAGCAACCAAATTTTACTATGGACATTCGGTAAATTCCAGCTTCGCCGAATTTTATTTTCGCCGACGATTATTTTCGCCGACTCCAACTTCGCCGAATAAAAATCTTGACCGAAAAATATCGAATCAAATTTGATCCATTCTAGATATAGAATTTTATCCTAACTAACTACTTTAATACTGACTTGATTAATTAACCCCATCTGACTTGGTAACCATCTGTGTTGATAACTCACGCACACACCCACACCCACACCCTAGGCAACTGACTTGGTAGCCATCTGAGTTGATAACCCACGCACGCACTCACGCATACACCCACACCCACAACCACACCCACACCCTCAAGGTGTGGGTGTGTGCGTGAGTTATCAACACAGATAGTTACCAAGTCAGTTGGTTACCAACTCAGATGGTTACCAACTCAGATGGTTACTAGCTCAGATGGTTACTAACTCAGATGGTTACCAAGTCAGTTGGTTACCAAGTCAGATGGGGTTAATTAATCAAGTCAGTGTTAAAGTAGCTAGTTAGGATAAAATTCTATATCTAGAATGGATCAAATTTGATTCGATATTTTTCGGTCAAGATTTTTATTCGGCGAAGTTGGAGTCGGCGAAAATAATCGTCGGCGAAAAAAAGATTCGGCGAAGCTTGAATTTACTCCGTTTTTCGGATTTTGTTTTATTCTACGCCAATTATTTTACAGTGTATGCAGGTTTGATGGAGAATATGCGAAAATATTCTTTTCAGGACGATTGCAGGTAATGTGGTGCTCTTGTACTATAATGCACGCACATGCACAATCACTTCGTTTTTGGAACTTGAACTAAAATTCATTGCATATGCATCATTGTTCTATCATTTATCTATATCGGCACCGCTACATTTTCTTTGCAATCGCTTCCTCGTTGCTTGTTCACAACGAATATACTCACTCGCTAGATGCAACCGTGACCAGATCCAGATCACCGGTAGCCACTATCATTCATAAAAATGTTTGAAATTTGAATCTAACGTCGAATGGTTAGCTGTAGAATTTAAATTCGACTGTACTGACCGTTTTCCAACTTACCTTCTTGTAAAGGAATCAACTTGGAAGGTGCAGTCTATTTCATGAGAATACATCCTATTCCGCAATGTTGAACACTCAGGAACCAGTTCCGCTCACTGAACCAATGCTATCTAATTCCAGCAGCTCCGTTTATCACTTCCAACAAAATTCCTGAATTCCCGGAATCACTGCCTAATGATTCCGCTTTCAACTAATTAGGAAATTGATGGAACTGATTCCAGAGGAGGAACTGGTTCCGGAATGTTCAACATTGTGGAATAGTATGAGTGCTCACTGGCTGAAGACATTGAGCATGAATATTTACTGCTCAGCGAAGATTACAAAAGAGCCTATCAGATAGCATTTAGATCTAACCCCTCTCACATATGATTAGCTTAAGGATCTAAAAAATTATTATATACTAGGTTCGATCATCGATACAACAGGTACTAAACTCACTCGAGATTCAAATTCAAGTCTGCAAAAATAAGGTCTTTATAGTACATATGCATATTGTTGGCGGAAGAATAATCTGCCGATGGGGTTGAAAATGTTCCGTGACCGTTAATGTGATCGGACTGGTCGTGATCATGAGTAATGTTGATAAAAGATATATTAGTCGCGTTGATATCAAGTGTTGATACGACCGTTCAAAAGGCTTTCACAATCACATTAGCATGGGCAATTACCTTCACACCTATAAACATAAACTGTATATGTTACCATGAAATACCAGTACAGTGAAACGTAGTGTAAAAATTGATTCGGAAGACATTTGAATCTTCAAATTTTATACGAATTCATAGAATTGTGCACGAACATAGTTCAACACGTGATTGCTCACATCTATTGACAAACAGTTCTATCTCTGAAAAAATGCTACTCATAGGAATTAGGAAATTGTGGGGTCTCTGTCTCTTATCTTCATTTCCGATTCAATTTTCATGTAAAGTCTATTTTCAGCCCTCAGGCCAGATTGCTATCTTACTCAAAATTATAGTATTTCTCGTGTCGCTGATTTCGTTACTACAAAAAAAATGACATTTTGCTTTCTAATTTGAATGATTCATAAGATCAAATCAATATGTTAATACACCGGAACGAGGCGATTATAAAATAGCTTTCATTTTTTATTCCCAATACCCAGATCCATCATTCAGACCGCCTGAAAGATGGCATTAAACTGCCTGAAAGGGTCAAGAAACGACGTAATTAATGTCATAAGCGATGAAAAATGACCGCCGTTTTCCACCAATTTTTAGTCGTTTTCCGTCAACTCGGATTACGGACCGTTTTTCCTCGGAACGTTAACGACGTCGTTTAAGGCCGTTTCCGATGAAAAAGGTCGAATGATAAAAGTACTCTATTTTCGTTTTTTATCCTCTCAATCTCGCCGTTTTGCACAGTTTCAAATGAGTGCTACATTGATCATTTATATTTTATTTCTCAAAATAAAATACAATAAAATTAAAATTAAAAAAACTACATGATAAAATAAAATAAGATAAATAAATAGAATAAAATACAGTAAAATAAAGCTAAATAAATATAATACAATATAAATACAACTAAGTAGATTACAATAAAATAAATAAAATAATCTAAAAAATAAAATAAAATAAAATAAAATGAATATAATAGGTTGAACGACAGTGTCTAAGTATGTATTTTACCTATATTTATATCTGAAAATAAAAGTGATGTAAAACGGCAAAAAATATTCTCTTTAGAAGGTAGTCGTGTCGGGCAATACAGAAACTGCCACCTACAAGGTCACTGTTTTTCGCCTAATCACGTCGTTTGCCAGTGCTTCGTTACTGACCATCGTAATGGCTGCCGTTTTTAGTCGTTTACGGACCGTTCTACACGACATGGGAATTATCAAAGTTTTATCTATTTGAAGGACAAACTCTTTTCAACATGCAGTTTTTACATTGGTATGACATCTAAATCAGTTAATTTCCGATTTTTATCTATGGAAGGAGCACTTCGATGGTATCAAAATTCAGGATCTGAAGGACTTTAACTAATTTTTTATTTGAGATCGTCGAGATAATTTCAGGAATAGAAAAAACTTTACGAAATCTTTTATGTGATCCTAAATATAAATAGAAACGATCGATTGGTTTGTACTGAAGCAAAAGAAAGTAATATATAGGAAGATCTACAGAAAAATTCTTAGCCACCAATCATACCCGAACCGAACGGGGGCTGCAAAGATTCAGAAAATGTCCACTTTCCAAAAAGTCTTCTGCCATTATGAAGGATATTACTTATCGTGCAAAACTAAGACCTTTCTCTATCACTGATGATATGCTCCTAATATGTCAAGCGAACCTTTCTATTTTACAGCGGATCTTTCATTTTCTTCAGCGAACCTTTCATGGGACTTTTCTAAATCATAAGGATCTTTTCATTAGTGGCGAGTTGACGAATGCATATTTTGGAATAACGTGGGATATATCGTTTTAAAGTCGTTTATGGAATTATGAAATGTTTTCAGTCAACAGAAAATTGAGATGTTCTGGTTAACTTCGTCAGAGTGGATACTAGAATAATTCTCATTCATTAATCTCAGAGCTAGGACGAGTACAATAGTACAACAAGTAGAAGTACAAGGTAACGTGGCGTTAGCGTCGCCAACCATCTACTGAAAGGATTTAGGCATGTAGAACGTAGCTACCCAAAACTATCTAGCTGAGAGGCTTCACGTTTTATAGCTTCGAAATGATTTTCATGGAAAACACGATTGATAACCGAGCATAAATAGAAAACTTGCTTGGAAGTATCACCAAGAAAACGACATTTGAATAGTACTTACTAATACTATATGGCAATACTGAAATTACGTGCATCTGATCTGCTACAGCTTAAGCTATGCTCCGAAAATTCTCAATCAGCTTGACGACGGAGTGAAGAAAAAGACCTATTCAGGAGAGCTACGGTCAAAATACTCCATTTTAGTAAAGTTACAGCTCATATTGGTCTATCAACTAGATATTTAACATGAATCTGCACGAGTAGATCGTAGATTAAATTAAACTGACCTTTTCTAACTCGATTTCGGTTAGATATGTCCTCATTTTTGCTCAATCTCAAGTCGATTTATTTTGTTTCGGTGCGTTTCCCGTCTTGAATGCATGCATTCATTCCAGGGTGCACGTTCACAGACAGATAAGTCTAAGATTTACATCTTTTGAATCAAATCCACTCGCAATCCGGAAAAACTAAACTTATCAAGATAACCACGACAAATACAAATTTCAAATATTTCACCCGAATTGAGCAATTATTTCACGACCTGTCTTCGGAAGAACTTGAAAATATCTCCTATTTTCGAAAAATTCTGCAACTTTTCTGATCGAGATAACATGTAACTATTCTATAAGTCTGCAAGACCTGTAGTCTTATAATCACAACAGATTTTTAACAGAGTGGAGAGTCGTTCGTCGGCGTCCCTCTGGGGCGCCACTCACGACTAGCCGCCCCCACTAGTTTTGTCTCATATATGCGCTGAACGTGTTCCTTTTAAACATGACATGATTGATTGAAAGCTTCGCTTCATTATATAATTATTAGATGAAAACAAAGAGAATTTTCAAGAAACCCGAAAACAATTGTTATGAGACTAATTTAATTCAGTTTCATCTACATATGAGAAAAATTACTCACAGTTTTGAGAAGAATAAGACAAGAGTCCTGAGTACTTGCATAGTTTGCGAACGTTCATAGATGCGCTAATCTACAATTCTACGTGTTACGTTTGAATAAATTCTTCGTGGTACAATAAAAATTGGCATACCAAGAATAAACTGAAGACTTTGAAAAAAGCTTTCAACGTCTTAGTGCAGGTGAGCGGCTAGCCGTTGCCAAATTGAGAACCGATTCCACTGCAAGATGCCTATAGCCTATTCGTAATAAGATCTCACAACCATACGATACATCTAACGCTATAAACTTCATCAAATGGTACCCTCAAAAAATTTCCCCTGCAACGAATTCCTATCACGAAAATGCGACGATCGAAACTGCTCCTAATCGATTATAAACTTGCTTGAACAACAAAATTTCAAAAAACCGACAATGCCACCGTGTTCCCCGACCCAGATTACCATCAATCAGCCCTTATAAAAAAAAACTACTTTTTTTCCAAAAAAGCGTCTTTCTCTCTCCTAAAAAAAAGGAAAATACAAAATTTTAAAAAGACTAACATCAGATTCGGATTCCCAGACCCCGAAAAGCTTCGATTAAGCCTATCCCTAGAGATACTGTTTCAGGTTAGTTACGTTTATGCAACTGCTTTCCTATTGAACGAACGAACGCATTTAACTCGTTTTTCGTAATACCCTCCTTTCAGTGGAGGGACAACCATTCGAATTATACATATGAACGAATCGGTAGTCTCCTTTTTTCTTTCAAAAGTTGCCTGAATAAATATGATCACTTTTACCGCTATAGCTATGTATGTTCTATACCGACCAGAAAAAAATCTGAAAAAACATATTTGATGAATTTTTGAAAACTGCCGTATCTGTTAGGCCAGCTCACATGATTGACAGCACAAAACAAATTATACTCTTCGTGAAATCGCATTTCTGATTGAAAGAAAATTAAAAAATACCCGTATTTTTATGTAAAGTAAAAAGAATACTAGTCTTTTTCTTGAAAAAGTTTTTATTATAAATAGAAAATGATGCCACATTACTTCACAATTATAGAGAAAAAAATTCTATGTATTATTGGTAGCAGAATTATTTTCACTAGATATATTTTTGACTTAAAAAATTATTAGGAAAAAATTTGAAAATTCTATACTGGTTTTTACTTATTTATTCAATTACCCCAAAGTTTATCATTATCTATGCAAGTGCCCTAAATGGGGTAATTGAAAAAAATTTCTATTGAATTTTCTAATCAGTGGCGGATCTACCAGTTAGGCTACCCGGCGATCGCCACCCCCCTTAAGAAATTTTTTTCGATTTTCCCCAGCAGAAATGCAACAGAAAATAGTCGTTCTGCCTCAAATAGACTTGAAAAACTGTTTTTTGGCCAGGAGCCCCACCCCCTAACAGATTTTCTGGATCCGCCACTGTTTCTAATGATTTTATCAAAGCAGAACTAATTAAAATTGAATTATCTAAATGAAAAAATGTTACCGATTATAGAGGCTGATCGTCTGTATCAGTATATGAAAGAATTACTAATAAATATCATCTAATTAATGAGAAAAGTTAATTATAATAATGCTGTGTGAAATACATAGATTTATCCAATTTTCCCGTCGTCCTAGCATATCTATCCAATTGCCCCTGATGGGGTAATGGGAAAACAAATAGGAAATAGATCCTTTTAACTCCAACAAAGATGATTTTTTCACAGGTCGATAGAGAATCAATCACTCTATCTACATGCTGAATCTTGTGAAAAAATATTCAAATAGAAAAAAATGAGACCAAAAATAAAAAAAAGAATTGAAAACATATATCCAATTGCCCCACACTACTATATAATTCTTTCTTTTGGTCTGTGTTGCACCAAATCTCTGCTATATGCATGTGAATTAATTCGTTGAAGTGGCAGGAAAATTTCGTTACAGAACAGAAAAGTCCGCTGGTGGAAGGAAAGATCCGCTTTTCATCTGTTCATGTTTTGCCTTTCCTTTAGCTCTTATATATTTATATATAAATATATGATTTTTCACGAGGTATGCTAGGTCCTACATATAGCTATGGGACTTTTCGTAAAGTGGAGATTTTTTAGATCTTTCACACTGCTGGACCGATTTGCTGAGTTATAAACCCCGGTCCTGTTGACACCCTTAAAAATACCTAATACAAATGATTGCGTCGTTACTTGCATGCATAAACTATGACGTGATTGTCGATAGATTACTAATGCTAACATACGAGTATTTGTTAACCGTTTCTAAAGAAAATGAATCATGGTTTCTATACATGCTATTGTTATCAAATGAGTCTTTTTTCAATGAAGATCGATGAATATTCTTTCGATTGTTAGTGAATTATTTAAATCATATTCTATTTAAACGTTGTGTAAATTGTTTTCATTATAGTACGTTAATATTATAAAAACAAAAAAAGGGTTCTTTTATTGCTATTATTATTATTATTATTGGATATCAATTAGTAAATTTCGTTTCATCTATGAAAATATTACTTATCTAAAAGTAATTGATTTAATCTGTATACATAGATCGATTCCATTCGACGATTATTTTTATAGAAACGAAAACATTAAGCATATAAAAATGTTGAGATAATATTACAACAAAAAATAATTATTGATTAAATACGTGATTCAGTTTTTATTCATACGTAGTTCTCGTTTAGAATATATAAAAAATCCTTTTGTTTTAATAATTCCTCGTTTAGTAATAATAGAACTATAACGAACAATACATAGAGGTTTCCAATTCATCGAATCATATTCATGAGAATATTTTTGAATAACTCCTTGAAAATCTGTTTCATTGAGAACATCTAAATAAATATATAAATTATTTAGCCAGAAAAATCAAAACAAGAAAAATATGAAAAGTTTACCGATTGGATCACTATGTGTTAACAGTTGAATATTATGTTCTTTGGCATATTTATTCAAGTCTTCAGGAATCGCACAACAAACATTCAAATTAATTTGATTCGTACATGGTTTGTGCTGAAATAAAGGAAAACAAATAGTTGAAGTTGAATTTGAATTTGAATTTTCAGATCTATTACTTTACAAGAATCATAGAAATCAGATAATAATGGAAGCATAAAATCACAAACACCAGCTGATAAAATCTTCTGTTTATCGATATAATCTTCAATAACATGCCATAATGGTAAAAATTCATTCAATGCTATTTGTACACCAGAATTCGGCAGTGAAATCATTATACTTTCTAAGTAATTTTCTTTCAATTGATTTAAAACTAAAGACAAATTGAATATTGAATAAAACTTGAATAAAGAGCTTACGTAAAAAACGTTATCGTTGTCTTATGGAAATGAACGTTCATGGTACCTGATTCTACTATCAAAGGTCAGTTCCCATGCGATTCACATCGTTAGATGTCATCTTGAGTAATTACATACTGATAACTTCGAACTCAATATCAACTAGCCATTACAATACTATGAAATGGACTTTATTTATGAAAAGTTGATCTACTGTTATTTAACTCGTTTATTTAACATTTAAGGGCATACATGATAATACTTCCTTTCTCTTGAGCTTTTAAGTGAGTCATCCACCTCGAATATTGTACGTTCCGAACGATTATTTTAAAGCTCTATGAATAAGTACTGCTGGAATGATCTGATTTTTATGCATGAGACACTTGAGTGCAACAATAAAATCTTTCAAGAAGTTATTTCGCCTATGAAAAGTCGCTTTCAAACGATTAAAATACAATATATGGGGCGACTTCGTGAGATTGAAAGATCAGCTGACTCTGATTGTTCTCATTCCGAATGAAGATGTGAATGGTTCAGTATTGATGTCGGTTTTCTTCTCCACTTTACTAGAGTCCACATCGTTCATAAGATAGAGTTTTAAGTCAATCATATAAAACTAGAATGGGACCTAAGTGTATCAGATTCAAACAGCTCAATGTTCCATCTGTATTGCACATGAAACAAACCTGTATTAATTGTTTGATGTAATAATTCAGGATCTAGTGAACGAAGAAATATTTTAACTAGAGTGAAAAAATGAAATTGATATAATCATAATTAAGAAGAAATTCATTTTTCTTACCAGAATATTTCAAATCTTCTCGAGATAATTGCTCGTTACCAGAAGTAGTACTATTATGATTACTTGTTACGGATGTTTCATCAGATGTAGGTAAAAACTTCACATATTTTTCATTCTAAAAATGCATGATTCTTTTTCAAGTGAGAGTATTACATTCAGGTAACTATACTTGAAATTTTGCTTCGTTCATCTCGATCCTCATTTTTTGTAGTACCATTGAAATATATTCAATGATCTAATCCAAAACAAAAAGAAATTATGAAAAATTCACTTACATATTCATTAAATCATACCTCTTCGGTTAGATTTTTATTGGTTTTCTTCGTTAATTTGGGTATTGATAATGTATTGCCTGTATAAAAAAGTATTTCTGTTGCTTTTGGAAATACTGGACGGAGCAGAGGCTCAAGCGTGACTTGATTAACATTCTAAATACAAGAACAAGTTGTCCATATAAAGTCTCAAAAAAGTATTTGGTAAAATATAAACTATCACTGTTATTGGCTTACTATATTCTGAATTTGGTTCTAGTAAAAGAGAAAACTGAAAATTGATGATTTTGTGATACGCAATTCTGTATCGAACGTCATTCTATATAGTATATTTTTATTTTTATTTAAACCTGAACCAATGATTTCATTATTTGAATATTTTAATCTCAGCTGAGTTACCGTCTGATTAATCCTAAAAGAAAAGTAAGATTTTAAACACAAGATTCTAATGATAGAATCCTGTGACAAGGTTTCCCTTGTTCCTGTCGAAATCAGTCGAAAATTGGCAATACTCGATCGTTGTATTTACGTCTCCAGCTGTCTACCACGTTTTGAAGAAAAATCTCTTTGCAATTTATCTGTATTGTTAGTGTCGAGAAAAAGTATCTCAGTCTGTAAATTTTAACAGAACCCGTTTTTTAATTATCATTTTGTTGAAGGCTCTTGTTCAATCGAAAACAAAAATATGCCATATAGGAGCACCAGATAAATAAAATTTCAGATTTTTAAATTAGTTATTTTTGATCATCATCTGATCAATATCTCATTCAAAAACCAATGGTTATGATTTCAATTATAAGGTAGTCATGAGCATAAAGTTCATGAAATCGACAACACTGTTTATTTTCTCTCAATTAGTTACGCTTCGTATTATAAATACATCTGAATAGTGATAACTTTCATAATTATTGATCTGTGATTCGAATCGTCAAGTTTCCTTTTTGATAATATAAGAAGTAGTACAACAAAAGTTTTTCTTTTAATTAATCTGGGCTGCGATTCGCCCTATATTTCCTATAATTCCTATATTTTCAAAAACGTCCTATTTTTGTCCTATATTTTCCTAAAAATTCCTGTATTTTATCGAAAAAAGTAGAAAATTTTCGAAAACCTTTAAATGTTGCTATCGTCTTTAGACGAAAAAGAACTTTCAATGTGTATAATCATGTGTTTTGGACAAATTCTTGTATTATAGTGACATTTGTTTTAAATAGTATTTTTCCTTTCGCCTATTTAGTGGTCTGACTGAGAACTTGTTTAATACTAAGTACAAAATACAAAATAGCTCAAAAGAAAAAAACATTCGCAAAGTGATCATGTACCAGTTTTGAGTTTTTAGTGAAGTTTTAGTTAGATATAAAAGCTATATATATATATATAGCCCTGGAAAAAATAAGTTTTTCTCTGTATTTTGAGGATATTGTTACCAAAAGAACATATTTTTTTTAAAATTAACAATATATTCTGAAAGCCCGTGAAATTTTACACCATCCTATGTATATGTATTTTTCATTTACACTTATTTATTACCAGAAAAAAACTGAGCTATGATATAATACAAAATCAACTTGTGAAAAATAATAAGCGATGAATGCTGATTATCAGGAGAATAAAATTAGGTTGAGATTTTTTGGGAAGTCATGTCCGTAATCTGAAACGTCTCCTTTAATTATGAAAAATAGTATTTGTTTTTTCAAAGCTTACGATCTACTTTATTGTTATTTATCGATTTGTGAAAAACTTTTATAATGATCCTCGAATTAGCGACTTATTTCAGTAGAAAAAATTATATAGGGATTCTGGCTACAGTTGAACTGTTTATAACAGCTTCATTAAAATGATTTTCGAGCAGAACAGTTCAAAAACGCCAAAACAATTGAACAGAAGCGGTGTATAAAACGTCCTTTCTTTTTGTCATTTTTATCGAAAATCCTATATTTTTGACAACCTTCACTCTCTAAGGATTCCTATATTTTTAAAAAAGTGCTATCGGAGGTCAGAATTAATAGATATTTGAGTAGTGGAAAGACGTTCGATAGAATTTCAAAACTTGTCGCAAAACATTATGATTGTTGCGCACATGCAATAATTATAATTCCTATATTTCCATTGCATTTTCTTTCGTTAGCAACAATAAATGTCATTCATGTCGATCCCTTTAATACACAATAGTGAATCACCCACATCGTCAACAGTTTAACGGGCCTAATTTCGAGTACTCGATTGGTCCTATTATCTTATATGATGATTTTCTTTTCTCTTCACGCAATGATTCTCTAGATAAACTTATTGGCTATTAACAAACTTAGAAATAAACAGTTAATAGAGCACATAAAGTTTTGACTAATTACCAAAAAGTATAACATCAGAAAGTATTCTCCTACCTGTAACTGTGTTAACATCATTTTAGTCGCAATTATACCAGACTGTGTTGAAGAATGCAAGAGAAAGACAAAAAAAATAGGTTTTTATCGCTCTGAAAGCACCTCAAGAAAAATCATTTTGTCAGCATGACGATGCTTTTTTATGCATATACGTATACATAAATGTGTCATAGGAATGTATTTAAGAAAAAAGAAACCCCAATATATAAAAAGCATTATCTAATGTAAATACTCTAAAATTATCCCACGGAATCATTACACCGGCATGATCAATTAAACAATAATTTTCAATCAGACAAAATGATACAAAAAAAAAACCATTTAAAATAAATGATTTAACTATTATAGATTGGTAATGGATGTGCTTCTGTATTGAATATCCATTGATCAAAAGGAAATAGATTTGATTCATCAAATAATAAATAAAAATATTTTAATGTTTCAGCTAAAAAGTAACTTTCCATTTTATCACGTGGTCCAACATTTTCTTTATTTCGAACATCATTGATTGATGAATAACCGTCAATTTGTCGAGTATATTTTTCAAATGATTGAAAAACATTCCAACCCCATTCTTGATAGATTTTATCACCCGTTAAATGATACATATAATATAATGATTCAATAAATTCAGGACGTAATAGATTGTGTACATCATTAGCCTTTTTGAAAATAAAGTAAAAACACTAGTTAATGCAAAATATAGATATTAAACAAATAAATATACTCGGACAATAATTGTTGACTCGTTAGAATTTGAATCAATGTTAAAATATGCTATTTCAGGACTGAGCCCGGTTGGCTGTTTCGCATACATTTGATAACATGTTTTAGTTAACTCTTTTGCCATATCAAGTAGATAGCTTAAATCACTTTGAAACGACCAACCAAGTGCCATATTACCAGCAAGAAAACAAGCTAAATGATCCTAAGTGACTTTTTCTTTCTATTAAATATTGTTTCAAAAGATTGATGACTACCATTTTAGGCGAAAATGTTGACATGCCGATTAATTCACCAACAAAATAAAATTTTTCTGGATAGGCTACATGCCAAAGATGTTTTCGTACACCCTCTAACAAAGAAAGCTATTTTTTTAATTTTCTTCCAAATTATTACCGATAGATTCAATCCAATCATCCCAAAATCTATAACAAAAAAATGTGATTATATTTTTTAAGTTAGAAATTCGTTAGACTCTCTTGTCGTAACAAAACGAGTCAATTTTATGAGTAGACACATGAAAAGTAGACTTTTCTCATCATTAAAGGTAAGACTAACATATAGCTTTGTGTTTTTAAATTTTAAATATAATTAAATTGATGGAGTTTCATTTCAATTCAAATGATAGATGTTTCTGTTGAATTAATCATACAAGTTCAAAAAGATTACCGTAGCCATTTTAGTCTTCAAATCAATTAGAAAATTGTTTTTAAATATTATTTATTGAATTGACATGTGAAATCCGGTGGGATTTCTTAACGTCATGAATAAGAAAAATTTTCAAACAGATGTTTCACTTTATGAATAACTGCCTTTAATTGATGCGTATCAAATATGAAAGATTTTCATTGTAAGAACATATGGTGCAAAAGCTATCAGACACATGTGGGCATTTTTAGGTCATGAATCAGAAAAAAAACTCTAAATGATTCTGCGTTTTTTGTACAATGTAAAATAATTGAAAAATTTTCTTTTCTACATCTGTTTTGGCATCAATTTTTGAGAACAAAAATTCTTTGTAATTAGGTTTGAGAAAAATTTTCTCTTCGTGTGAATTCTCTATCACTAACTGATTCTATACAAAGTTGAAAAAGTGAAGTCTTTGTAGACATCTGAAAAAATATCAAAGATGCTAATAAAATGCTTGAACGTGAATATACCGAGGTAGGTTTTACATGCAACACATGTCGAATTTACGTTTTCTAGTAATCTTATAATAGATTTCGGTTGTTGAAATATATTTTCTAGAATTCATAGGCACAAAACAAGAATATTACGATGTGTATACTAATGTTTCGAAGAAATGGTTGATGCAAAATGTTTTGCTTCCTACTTTAACTTGTCTTTTAGATCCTATTACTTAATGAATGGCTCTTAACTAGTTTGAACAATATCCACTAGTGTAGCGAAAAGTGAAATTAGATGAACAAACTAGGTTCATCGTTAGAACGTCATCAATATGAAGATTAGCAGCTATTTCTTGTTCTTTCATTGAACAATACTTACAAAGATCGTTTCCGTCCTGTTTGTAGCCATTGTTTAAGTAAATATTCGTAATATGAATCTCCACGTGCACCAAATGAAACAACTCCACCAGAAAATTGCCCTGTCAACGGACTAATAAATATCGGTACAAGACCATCGTCTTTTGATTGATTATGAAGTGTGGCTGCTAATTTGTCAGCTGCATTCTATTAAAATAATTGTTCCACTTATAAAGTACATCAATTCTATGGTACGAACCTCATATTTTTTATCATTAGATACTCGTGATAAATCTCGCATTTCAAGTTGAACAGTACCGACTTCAGCTGTAGTTGAATCTGGCGTCCATCTATAAAAAGTTAGAATTTCAAATCTTTGGAAAATGAAAATGAAAATCTTCTACCGATAAGCACCTGGTTTTTTTCGTTTAATATTTATTTGGGCTAAAGGTAAACCTGATGGCGTATTAAAGTTTAACAAAAGGCGATCGCCTAATTCAATCTAAAATTATTCAACGAAATATAGCAACTTCTTTGTGAGATCGATTGCAAATTATTCTTACAGCTCGTTTTAAAAATATTTCATCTGCTGTTAAATGATAAATACTAAGAAGACCACCTAGAATTCGTATTGTTACTTCAAAATGTGAATTATATTTATCAACAGAGTTTGAATCAAGATTAAATGATTTCTCAATCCATTCACGTGCTTCCCTATATTCTAATATTATTAAAAGTGGAAGATGGTCATAGACAAAAATTGCATCTAACCTTCAGTCATATTCATAATATATAGTGTATCAATACTATCAATAATCGTTAAACCAAGACCGAACCATGTTGATGGAATTTTCGATATTGATTGTAGCTCATCGTAACCCCATGCATATGTTCGATACGCTTTCCAAGCATGTTTCATTGCATCTCTTACAGCTATTCTATATTCATTTGTTGGAGCTTATTAAAAAGCGTGAGATAGAACGTTTGAAAACAAAACAATAAAATTACTTGAAAAGTATTGCTTTTTAATTTGTGATTTGCTTAATGGATTCTTCTAGGTAAATAAAAATGAAGTCATGATGAAATGGATGCATACCTTTCATTGATATAAACTATAGTTTCATCCTTATGACATTGATTTGAAGCTTGATTATAAGATACGAAATAGTTAATTTTTTGACTAATACAATAGAGAATAATTATGAAAAAATTAACTTTCAAAAAACTAATCAGATAAGACATTTTTAAATAAATAGTATATTTTCTTCGCCTTCGTTTTATCTCTTTGTAGAATGAGTATATTTAACTTACGAGATGTTGTTTGTTTCGCCAAGTTTCTTTTTCTTTATTTATTTTCTCTCGCTGATATTCATCTGACGTATATCCAATAGAGTTAAGAGAATTTTTGTAATAATCGACATAAATCCACACACAAAGTAGACCGATTGCAATAAAAAATGCACGTTGCTGTCTGTGTAAATGCCGCCAATACTAAAATTTAATTTCAGTAATTATAAAATCAATTCAATTAATTGAATAGAAAGTAAATTCATGTTCTCATGCTGTTTTCTTTTAGGAATCGGGTTTACTTCAGATATGAATTTGAAACATACTCGATATATGGAAAATTTTGCTGATGAATGTGATTTATTATCAAAATTGATGATGAAATTACTATCTTGTTTCATATTGTGTTCGATCAATATTCATTGAATTAAAAATGCATCAAGAAAATTTGACAAAAAAAAAGATTCGTCGTTAATATAATAGTACTGAAAAAGAGAATAGCCAATAAATAGTGGTAAATGTAGAGCGAGTGAGTAAGTGCTTGTTCGTTTGATATTTATTTTTTATTTGCCTATTTCAACGAATGAATACGAAGTATCGACTTAACGTAACTGCCTAACAGTAATCTTGAGGTTTTTGTACCTAGAACTTATTTATTTACGGTAATCTCAGAAACTTATATTGAATAATATTGCAGTTGATTATTGGGTTAACATTCTGTCATCACACAGATGATTAGTATTGATAAATTACCTATCCAAAAAGAAATCCATTACTACAACTTTCGTGTGTAATCTTAAACATCTTCTGTAAAAGAGCATAAGTGAGGAAATTGATTATGACATTTTATTCCATGTACATGTACAATGGAGTTAATAAAATCAAATATACAATTTAATGATTTTTTCCAAAATAAAAGAAAATAAGAACAAGAAGAACCAATTAAATATGCAGACGTTTTTAGCTTATCGGATCCCAGAGTAGGATCCGATCCGATATGTATCGGATTCCAATCATATGGATCCGAAGCTCGGTCCGAAACCCGGAATCCGTCGATTCTCTTGCGTTTTCATATAAGATCCTAGGTAACCCATTTTCAGATTCGATTGGATCCGGTTGTAGGAATAAACGACCTGGGAAAGATTATTTCATTCATTTTATAACAGGAAAACAAAACCTTTTGTTTTATTTAGTAAACAATATTATACATATCATGTTAAAGTAAGCGGCGCGTGAACGGTCGTAAACGACGTAAAAATAGTATAAAACGTCAAAAAAACGGCGCTGATTTCTGTAAGCTCGAAAAAGGACGAATATAGTGTTCAAAGCGATGGCTGTTTTCAAACGAAGAAAATGGTGTGTAAAGCGAGCTGACGGATTGCGGCTAAATAATGTGAAAATTAATCCCTTATTAAGCCGTTTTCTAGCCGTTCAGGTCTATTAAGATACTTGTTCCGACGGTCGCAGGGATTGTCCTGGGATGGTATCAGTTGTGTTGGTTACACCTGTACTAATGAAATCAATATGGTGCAATGTAAAAACGTATATTCAAAATATTGAAGTAGAGACATTGGCACATAATGCATGAAACCCTCCTCCCTCCACTTGTTCTTCCTTGACTCTTCCTTTTTGGATATACATGCAATAAAAATATGTCAAAAAATGATGTAAATTTCATCATTTTAATGAAACTCTTTTTTGAAAGAAATGATGCCGAAAATGAAAAAATTTCATTTTCCACAATGAAACGGACACTTTAATGCATATATTTGAAATTGATCAATGAGTTTCAAAGATTTCATTTCGTGAAAATCATTAAACCCACACGAAAACCATGTCATAAAAACAATCAAATTTTCATCAAAATCATGGCATGACAATCGTTAAAATAGATTAAAAAAAATGCAACTATTTTAATGAATAAAATTATACATTTTTCATGTTAGGTGCATACCAATTTTAATGTTTGGCAGCTAATGCCTGAGATTGCCACTGAGAGGATATTTGCAAGGATTGCTCTTCGCCAGGTGATGCGATGAAATTTATAAGTCATTTCTTCAACGCAAGATTTTACTTAAAGTTAATTCCTTCAAACAAAATACAAGTACTTCCATAACTATAATTTTTCAAAAGAGGGCTTCTACCTCTTTCTCCTTCTCTAATTTAGCTTACTCATGAGTATGATATTTATATTGTTCGGTGCAATCCCAGGTCAAACATTACGATGACCTGATACGATTGTAAACGGCCGCATACAGCAACGTATATTATCGTTTTATAACGTTTCCGACCGTAAATCACCGTAATTTGACGTTTTGGCATGCACCGTATTACGGTTGTATTTCACCGTGTCGTAAACGGTTACTAACGGCCTTAATGTGGTCGGATACTGAAATATCCGACCGTATCTGATCGTTTATGGCGCGATGCAAAACGACCGTAATACGGTGCATACCAAACGGCTGTGTACGACACAAGTTGATCGACCAAGGAAGTTGCAGTAAACCTGCATTTCAAACCGGAACTAATTTACTAGGATTCTTTATAGATGCCACCAGTGGAAGACCTTATCCACAAATGATTGAAAGAAGAAAAAAACGTGTTTTTTTCTAATTCCTTTTCTTCAGTGTACAAGGCATTTCTTATCTAATGAGTCATGATCAATAATAGATTTCACAATAACTACAATGTTCTATATAGACGTAAATTTTGTTTTTGAATGAAGACTATAAAATTTCTAATAAACTAGAATATGTCTGTTTGCAATAGTAGCAGTGCTGATTGTTTAACAACATTAGAACGTGATGGACCAACGTATGGAATTTCATTTACACGTACTCAAGCTGATACATTATTTCGACAACATTTAAATCAGAATATAGCATCATTTGAATTTATCGATACTGGCTATAATAATTTGATTTTTTTTATTAATACTGTGGAAAATACGGAACGTTATGTACTTAAAATTGGTGGTCGCTATTGGAATAGAATTAAGACTGAAGCAGAAGTAAAAGCATTAGAATTACTTACAAAATATACTACCATACCTGTACCGAAAGTTCTTGCTTATTCCAGTGATCGAAATAATGAATATGGTGTCGAATGGATATTGATGACACGTTTACCTGGTAAAAATATGAGTATAGTATGCAAAATGCACGAATTAAGTTTCAATGCCAAAAAATCAATTATGCGAGATTTAGCTGATTATGTTGCACAAATGCATTTTCGAATACCACGTTTTAATCAAATTGGTGCATTTAGAATCGATGGAGAAATCGACACTGATCTTAATCAACTCGGGCCATGGTCGACTTATGAACAATTTCTACGTGATCGAGTCCAAGCAGATGCTATCACTCTTAGTAAAGATCCTGTTTTTGCACCTATCAAAGATTCCATGCTTGATGCTATTCATCAATTTGATAAACTAAGATTTCCATCGTTGATAAATTTACCCTTTGTATTTTCACATGGTGATCTTGATATACAGAATATTTTAATATCGACCGATGATCTCGAATCACCTCGTATTACAGGTATTGTCGATTGGGAATGGGCTGGTTCATTTCCTTGTTCTGAAGAATATTTTACTTCATATCAATATTTTCTGCAAGATGATAACAATGATAATATTCGAATATTCTTCTTTGAAGAATTAGAGAAACGAAATATTTTAACACCAAGAACAATTGAACGATTTTCTTTGCTTGAAAAATTTAATCAACTTGTAACCAATATAGCATTATGGGATCTTACTGATTTAATTAATCCAGCGCATCCTCTTGTGAAGAAAAAATTAGACAGTAGTCTTTCTACTGTACAAGCAGTCATATTAGAATTAAAAGATGAATTAAAATAAAATCAAGAATGAGTTGAAGAATTTCACCTTTAACGAATAGCACGAAAACACTTGATAAGGATAGATCAATGTTAATTTATTTAATCCAAGGTTTTCTTCTACGATCAAATAGAGCTGCTCTTGAAAATTCGTCAAAGACATCAAAATGGAGAAATAACGTTCTAAACGATATCTGAGATGATAGCCGGTTTTATCTAATTTTCGAATGATTTTTACACACTACGAGAAAAAAACAATATCATAAGCCTTTTTGAATATTTGATAATGCCACCTGCGTAATATATCTATTAGTGTGTGCGTATGTGCTCTAAACAGCAATATCTACACCCACAACCTCAAGATAGCCGTTCTATACAATAAACCATTAGTCCGAATATAGTAAAGTAACGCTAGCTACCAATAGGATACAATTTAATACTAAACTGTTTAATTAAGCCATCTTCGGATTTTTCAATATTTTTGTACCTTCGATATTTTCATGTTTCAATCATTTATTTTGGCGTTTTTAATTTCGATCTGTCAATAGCATTCGACTTGTTAAAATATAATCATTGTATATAGGATTTTATTAAAACTTAGAAAAAGGCGGGAAATGTTAGATATGTGCACTTCTAACTACACGACAGTGAATATAATCCAGGTTTAGAATTATTAAAACTAGAAAACAAAACAATATGATGGAATATCTCAGTTTTTCTGTTTTGTCATAAAATCTAAACCAATTCAAGGATTAGCAAGTATAGCAACTTCGGATTGTGCTAGTTCGCGGTTGTACACATAGAGTTCATCAATCGAACCCTGATAGTTGTAGCTAAACGTACCTGAACAACAAGCAGCGTAATAGCCTATGAAAAGATGCGCTAGTGTGCCGGACGTGACGGATAAGACGAAGCCTGTTGATCCAAAGAAAACTCCATTCACGTATAAAGTATATCCATTATTTAAACTGTATGTCAATGATACATGTGTCCACGTATTTTGTGTAATAAATGGACCAGTCAATCCTAGTGGGCTAGCACCGTTGCAGAGTGCAAATATCTGCCCACCTGAAGTTCCGTATGAGTAAAACCCTAGTATAGTTCTACATGAACCGTATGATGCGCTAAATGATTGAATAAGTGTGGAGGAACTAGTTGACGATGGATTGATCCACAATGCTAATGAGAATGGTTGATTGGTTACAACACCGTAAGGAATCTGATAAAAACCATAAGCACGGAAATACGATGAAATGGATGGATAGAAGTACATCCCCTGGTTAACGCGTCCGGTAACTGAACGTGTATTGATCGCTGACCCACCTACTCCATTTGGGCCACTATCAGCACTGGTACTTGGTGAATCAAATGAATAATAAGCTGCCAAAGATGCATCGCTTAGAATGCCTGTGGAAGATTTTGCCTCTGTTGTTAACAATAGATTGTCGATATAACCACTAAAATATATTTGTGTAGAAGAAACTGTACTTGAACCAATTGTAATACTTCCATTTTGTCCTTGATATGGTTGTGCATTTGACTTAATTGCATCTACAACACCATTAACATATAAGATTTGCTGTTGTGTTCCATAATTGTAAACAAATGCANGATGCATCGCTTAGAATGCCTGTGGAAGATTTTGCCTCTGTTGTTAACAATAGATTGTCGATATAACCACTAAAATATATTTGTGTAGAAGAAACTGTACTTGAACCAATTGTAATACTTCCATTTTGTCCTTGATATGGTTGTGCATTTGACTTAATTGCATCTACAACACCATTAACATATAAGATTTGCTGTTGTGTTCCATAATTGTAAACAAATGCAATATGATACCAAGTACTATTGTATAAGATCGTTGAGCCAGACAAATGATTTGAAGTGAAATCAATATATAAACGATTATTTCTAATAATCAAATACAAACACTGATATGCACAGGTTGAACATGAACATTGACCGAATATCCCACGATCACTGCTAGACGCCTTGATATAGATCCAAGCTTCAATGGTGAAACTTGTGTTACTTAAATCAAAAAATGGAGATGAAACCATGAATGAATTGAATAGTGTTGCCGTTAGATCAAGTGCTTGACCAACTCCAACATATGGCATGTTAGTTGCAGATGCAGAAGTATATAGCGTACCATTCACTAATTGGCCATTATAGACACCGTATGAATCTACTACCGTAGTATCAAAAGTCCAATATGCACTAACTACTACAGAGGATGCAGTGGTTGTAGATGTTGATCCTATAAAGCGAATATCGATTAAAGAAGTCGGTTAGCAAGATAAATCGTCGACACTACAAGCGTAGTTATTTCATTCATCTCTAGAGTAGCTCAGCAATAGGAAAGGTTCCACTAAAGGATTATTGCCCAGAAGCATTACGCAAAATTCAGGGAGCATCGCTCTCGGAACAACAGTAATATTCCTTCAAGCAACTTTACCTGTTGATTTCGTAAGTAAAATACTGAGAACAATTGTAACGGTGATAACAGCCGCAATCGATACACCTACCATGCTACCCACTAAAACTTTCTTTCTCGTTGACCACCTATCAAATAAATATGATTACTGCAAAGAAAATAGACAAAAAAGATTACTTTGATGTTGTTGCTATTTCATTCAGACTGCTTTTTCCTACATCTGAATGTTCAACAGCCGTTGTGTTATAATTTTTCTGCTGGGAAAATGATGAAGGCATTGTTGAATTCGACATCTGAAACAGGCAAATAATTAACTTGATGACTTTTCGAATCGTTAATACAAATAAAGTGTGAGGTAAGCTTACGTTTGAATGTGGCTGATGGCCATTATTTGGTTCTTCTACATGGTGTAATCGAACAGCTTTAGTTGTTCCAAATTTCAAAGGCGGTTTTTCTTCGTGAACTTCAGCTTGATAACGAGCACTTTGACTTATTCGTTTTTCAAAACGCTAAAGAATATTAATAAAGAATGAAGTTTCACACAAAAGAATTAGAAGGCAACTACGAGAATCGTAGTTCAAGGGTGTGAGTCCTGAATAATTGAAACATATTCGGAGAATTGTCATCTCGATTCATTTATATGATTACAAAAATTTTATTATCTCTTCATAACCACTACCTAAGTGTTCAGTCGGGAATCACGGTGTTTCACAATGAAATATTTCCAACGGAGTCATCTTGATGGCATATGTTCTCTTTTCCACTCACTCAATTAATAACCAACCTGATTGTTCGTTGCCTGGTGTTGTGACTGCAGCTCAAGATCGGACGACGTTTCACTTTCGTTTCTTCCCGTAGGTATTGAACCTCTTCGAATGAAACCAACTTTCACTGAACGCACTACGTTTCTCATTGATTAGCTTGTTTTGTTTCAATCAGGGTATGATTCGAATCTATGATTTGCACTCTATCTTATATAGGATGATTGCCTTTTCTCTTTTGCTTTCTGTGAGCAGTTCGGTGTTATGGTTAATTTAATTGAATGTCAACAACAGTAGATGAGTGCTGGGAAACGAAAAATACACATAGTCTGCTTGACTGGCCTCGATTTTTTAATCAGAAAAGGTGTCCCGAGCAACCTCCAATGTAATTTTTGTTGTTTGTTTTGATGTTATATTATGGCAGTCGATATGAGTAGAACAAGGGTTTTTTTCTTCATCAACGCAGAAGCAGATCAATCTCAATCTCAATAATAACGACAATATTGTTTTCTGTTATTGTTTTTTCAATTATTTAATTCGTTTCAACAATCTTGACACAACCTTGACACAAGAGGAAAATGGCTGTGCGCAATTTTTTTGATTGCTTTTCTTTAAGTTGACTGCTAGTTTGTTTTTTTGAATTGAAATTATGAATCGAACTGGTTGATGCACATCGGATGGTAACATTGGTGCTGGATTAGTGTTTTTTAGTCGTAAGATCTTGAGTTGGCTTTTTCACGATGTACTTTGAGTTTTTCAGGTCATAGAATAGTGACAGTCAATTATATGCGTATACTTTTGGCATATAGTAAGTGTGCTTACATCCGTATGTATCATATGGTGAAATCAGTAAATGTTTTCATCATTCATGATTGAAGACGCGATTCGACATTTAAATATATTGAGTCCCGAAAGAAACAGTTTAGAACAATGAGATAAGAATTGCATGGTAGTGAATGTGACTCTCACCTAGAATATTCGATGCAATGTCTCGGATTGAACGATGCACACATTTTAAAAAACTCTTGAAAGACATCGAGCTAAAACCATTCATAGAATTCCAACCTATAAGTGAACAAATTCAAAAAAAGTTACGGTACCGTAGGACTGACAGCCATGCGATGATCTACAAGTGTATACGTAAGGCACGGAACGTATGCATTTCAAACAAGAGTTGAATCTATATCAGCTTAATATAAAAAGAACTCACGTCTCTGAACCAATCCGAAGACGTCAATGGATGATTTCATATTAGAAAACTCGTTATAGTGTGTAATTTTACTTGGAGGTGGCCTATACGTTATGTGATGGTTGTAAAAGTAAACTACACACATATACAAAAAAAAAACAAATAGTAGTGATAAAATGCATAGGCCTGAAAACTACTGTAATTTGGAATGAAACAGAAGCACAGGCGTTTTGACGGCACTTGTCTCTTATGGATTTTTTTCTAGAACGACAAATAATTTGTTTTATCCCGATTAGCATTCTGTTTAGAATATTAGCGCAAGAAATACGGGATAAATTGTGTGCTTCTACAGCAATGCAAGGAACTGCGACTCACAATATACTATGAACCGTGACATTCACGTCGAGAAAGTTCCTCTATATATCCTTTCGTACCACTTAGCTTGATCGCTAGAACTAATTTTTTTTGGCATTCCCACTGCATATTTTAAAGATGAAAACTACGTCATACCATGACATATTTTCCCAGTATCATCGCGTTGCCACATCGCCATACAATTTCCCAAAATTCTCGATATCATTCGCGGCTGACTTTATTCTAGACAGCTATTAACAGTCGCTTGTTTATTGAATTGATTATAAGAGTACTTTGATTTTGCCATCTTCCGTCATCACCAGTTAGATAGCGTTTCTCTATTACTTCTTTCATAATGTCCTTTAGCTAATTGATTTCATCATTGGCGATTAATACCTAGGTATATGACTCATTCATACAATTGCTATTTGTACTGGCCCAGTATTTTATCTCTGTTCTCTGTCTCTCTACCTCATCTAGCTTTTTATTCTTGTTCTAATTTTCTGTCCAGTGCAGTTTTGCTAGTTTTCATGCTTGTTTCAAGATAAATTATATTAGTCCTATGTGAAAATGATCTGTATAACCGAATAAACAAGAATAGATGACATATTCAGCCGGATAGAAACAATGCAGCGAGTAGTTGACCATAATCACAAAGGAGAAAACATCCTTCGGCTGGTTTCAAAATTTTCTATCTTTTGAGAAAAATTCCAAGTTTGTTGGAGGTCTGAGAGGAACTGAAAGTTGCAATCATTAAAAAAATTCGAATGCAGATGCTCACTCTATGATAATTTTCTGTTCGCGTAATTTTTAACTTCGGCACTTTAAAGCCTCTGACTCCTATAAACTTTCAATTGCCTTGAGTTCAGTGATTAATCTGAATTATGAGGCTATTGTGCTCTGATCCACTTGTTAGTCGACTCTATGTTACTTTGAGTGCTATAATCTTGTTGGTTCCTTGAAATCTATGATAAATTTCAGGTGTGTTCAGTGTGAAATTGATTGGCAGTGAATGTTTTTGCGCGTATATCACTTAAAAGCATTGACTTCGTGTTAGTTAACAACACAATAGTGGTGCATCCTAACGCGTCAGGAATTTTCGAAGTTCACAGCTCATGAAATCCTACCACTACCCCGAAACGTATTCGTATTTTTCTAATCCAATCTAATCATATACCATATGTACGATTGCAGTTAAAGACAAAAAACTAAATTTGCACTAGTCTCGTGTATAAATGCAAAAGAGACGGAACACTACGGCTATTAAATACTGTTAGATCGAATAATTTAAATTCCTCGTATATGTGCGTTCCATATATGTTGTGCCATCTCAATGGATGCTAGTAGAAGTACAGTAGTAGTGAATATGCGGTTCGCAGAAAATTAAAACTGCGATATCCTATCTAAGAACTCAAATGTTCTACATTTCTAAACAGTATTTGAATTGTTATTCATTGTTTAATTGTATAATTCAAAAAACTTCCAGTTTTTATAATCAACTCAATTGAAACAGTCGTTTATTCTCGAAAAAATTATCGTATAGCTTTCGGCCGAATAGAATAATGAATGAAAAAAATTTTGTTCACTGTTTTCACAGAATTCATTCAAAATTAAGGGGCGTACTAGCATCGGTAGAAATATCGATTTCATCATAAGCTAATGACATCAGCACCGACACTCATTTGCATTCTGAAGATACTAACCAACATTTTTCTCTGCAAGTCTTAAGTCCTAAAAGATACAAACTTGGTTTTATCTGGCAACAACAATAAATTTTGTTTCTTAGCGGCTAAACCTTTTTTCTTAGTCAGTATCAGAATGAACTAACGTAATCTCACATCGACCCATCTAGGTGATAGAATAGTTCTAAAGATTGCGTCTTACCCAACATAATCGTTAAAACAAACGATTCAATCTTGTAGACCTGAAGTATACATGTCGTTGTGGGTATAGTCTTGGGTTATTACCAGTATGGTATGTGTCTTTATCTATTATAACCCGCAGCGATACCGAACTCCTCACCAAGACATTCGCACGCTCAAGATATATCCTGCCAAGATCAGATTTTACCAGAACATACGTACACGAAACATCCATGATGCCATTCAACTCATTTATAACCAGATCAAGTTCAGGTAATTTTTCTTCAATAAAATTCATCAAAACAATCTTAATATAATTGTTCAGACATGTATCAACTCGATTAAATATTATTATTACGAATAAATTTTTATTGGTTAAGAAAAAAATCGGAGAACATAATACGCGCGCATTTTTACTGCACACAAATCAAGAAAGCAAAAGATTGAATTTTGTTTCAGATAGACGAACAAAATTATATGAAGCAACTTTCAAAAGTTATCATCTAATCAATAACAGCTCACGGATTAGCTAGTTGAGTAACATCTGATTGTGATAGTTCTCGATTGTAAATATAGACTTCATCAATCAACCCTTGATAGTAATTAGTAATAGAACTTTGGAAACACCCAACACCACCACCTATGTAGAGGTTTGCAAATGTGCCGCTTTGAGATTCGCCTATACTACCGGTTGCTCCAAAACAAACTCCATTAACATACAATGTATACCCATTTCCTACACCATATGTCACTGAAACGTGGGTCCATGTCTTTTGTGTTATAAATGGGCCAGTTATATATGCTCCACCTCCACTAATACTGCGCACAAATATCTGTCCCGCTAATGCATTGGCTGAGTATATACCTAGCAAAGATTCACAAGAAAATGATGACATACTTGAAGCGATCATTTGAACAATAGCTGAACTACCGCTTGATGATGGACTGATCCACAAAGCTATTGAAAATGGTTTTCCCATAATAACACCATAAGGAATCTGGTAGAAGCCATACGCATGAAAATAGGAGGATCCAGTGAAGCGGTATGCTTCATTTACTTTTCCAGTAACTGACAGTGTATTAGTTGCTGCTCCAGCTATTCCATTTGGGCCACTGTCACCAGTAGGATTCGATGAATCAAATGCATAATAAGCCATCAACGATGCATCGCTTAGAATGCCTGTGGAAGATTTTGCCTCTGTTGTTAACAATAGATTGTCGATATAACCACTAAAATATATTTGTGTAGAAGAAACTGTACTTGAACCAATTGTAATACTTCCATTTTGTCCTTGATATGGTTGTGCATTTGACTTAATTGCATCTACAACACCATTAACATATAAGATTTGCTGTTGTGTTCCATAATTGTAAACAAATGCAATATGATACCAAGTACTATTGTATAAGATCGTTGAGCCAGACAAATGATTTGAAGTGAAATCAATATATAAACGATTATTTCTAATAATCAAATACAAACACTGATATGCACAGGTTGAACATGAACATTGACCGAATATCCCACGATCACTGCTAGACGCCTTGATATAGATCCAAGCTTCAATGGTGAAACTTGTGTTACTTAAATCAAAAAATGGAGATGAAACCATGAATGAATTGAATAGTGTTGCCGTTAGATCAAGTGCTTGACCAACTCCAACATATGGCATGTTAGTTGCAGATGCAGAAGTATATAGCGTACCATTCACTAATTGGCCATTATAGACACCGTATGAATCTACTACCGTAGTATCAAAAGTCCAATATGCACTAACTACTACAGAGGATGCAGTGGTTGTAGATGTTGATCCTATAAAGCGAATATCGATTAAAGAAGTCGGTTAGCAAGATAAATCGTCGACACTACAAGCGTAGTTATTTCATTCATCTCTAGAGTAGCTCAGCAATAGGAAAGGTTCCACTAAAGGATTATTGCCCAGAAGCATTACGCAAAATTCAGGGAGCATCGCTCTCGGAACAACAGTAATATTCCTTCAAGCAACTTTACCTGTTGATTTCGTAAGTAAAATACTGAGAACAATTGTAACGGTGATAACAGCCGCAATCGATACACCTACCATGCTACCCACTAAAACTTTCTTTCTCGTTGACCACCTATCAAATAAATATGATTACTGCAAAGAAAATAGACAAAAAAGATTACTTTGATGTTGTTGCTATTTCATTCAGACTGCTTTTTCCTACATCTGAATGTTCAACAGCCGTTGTGTTATAATTTTTCTGCTGGGAAAATGATGAAGGCATTGTTGAATTCGACATCTGAAACAGGCAAATAATTAACTTGATGACTTTTCGAATCGTTAATACAAATAAAGTGTGAGGTAAGCTTACGTTTGAATGTGGCTGATGGCCATTATTTGGTTCTTCTACATGGTGTAATCGAACAGCTTTAGTTGTTCCAAATTTCAAAGGCGGTTTTTCTTCGTGAACTTCAGCTTGATAACGAGCACTTTGACTTATTCGTTTTTCAAAACGCTAAAGAATATTAATAAAGAATGAAGTTTCACACAAAAGAATTAGAAGGCAACTACGAGAATCGTAGTTCAAGGGTGTGAGTCCTGAATAATTGAAACATATTCGGAGAATTGTCATCTCGATTCATTTATATGATTACAAAAATTTTATTATCTCTTCATAACCACTACCTAAGTGTTCAGTCGGGAATCACGGTGTTTCACAATGAAATATTTCCAACGGAGTCATCTTGATGGCATATGTTCTCTTTTCCACTCACTCAATTAATAACCAACCTGATTGTTCGTTGCCTGGTGTTGTGACTGCAGCTCAAGATCGGACGACGTTTCACTTTCGTTTCTTCCCGTAGGTATTGAACCTCTTCGAATGAAACCAACTTTCACTGAACGCACTACTTTTCTCATTGATTAGCTTGTTTTGTTTTGTTTCAATCAGGGTATGATTCGAATCTATGATTTGTACTCTATCTTATATAGGATGATTGCCTTTTTCTCTTTTGCTTTCTGTGAACAGTTCGGTGTTATGGTTAATTTAATTGAATGTCAACAACAGTAGATGAGTGCTGGGAAACGAAAAATACACATAGTCTGCTTGACTGCCCTCGATTTTTTAATCAGAAAAGGTGTCCCGAGCAACCTCCAATGTAATTTTTGTTGTTTGTTTTGATTTTATATTATGGCAGTCGATATGAGTAGAGCAAGGGTTTTTTCTTCATCAACGCAGAAATAGATCAATCTCAATCTCAATAATAACGACAATATTGTTTTCTGTTATTGTTTTTTCAATTATTTAATTCGTTTCAACAATCTTGACGCAACCTTGACACAAGAGGAAAAAGGCTGTGCGCAATTTTTTTGATTGCTTTTCTTTTAAGTTGACTGCTAGTTTGTTTTTTTGAATTGAAATTATGAATCGAACTGGTTGATGCACATCGTATGACAGCGTTAGTTTTGCATTAAGACTTGCTGGTCAGAACTTGTTGAATCTATGTCGAACTATATGCTCGTAGCTGTTGATTTCATAGGATGCTTGGAGTCAGTACTGTGATGTATATCTGTAATAGTTTACATTAAGTGACATACAAAACAAAATCATTATCCTGAGTAGAGGATGCAACGGTGACGGTGTATCACTGGTCCGCCGTCCACTGATAACTGGTCTATTTCGGTAACCATTCATATCGGTAACTGGTCCTTAACAGTAAGGAGTCGTACTAAACTAGCTTTGATTGGAACTCGTTGCTAATGACAACAATTAGTGTTGGGTTCCCAGGGTTTCAACAGCACTTTAACTACCACAAATGTAATTATTCAAAGTCAAAATTTTAAGTTGAGGAGATTTTAATGGCGCTGGCCATTTCTCTTTTTTTCAGATATTTTCTTAAGAATTGCTGATATTGGAGCTGATATATAGGAGATTTAACTGCATTGAGTACTCATTTATAGATGTCATATACGTATAAATGCATTCATAGTTGAATTAGTACGTACCATTAGTGGGCTTGCACTTTTATGTTAAGGATGATGGTGTTGCACAACCATTCTGAATTTCAATGTCGATAAAGAATTTAAGTTGTTACAAAACCATTAAAGGTTAATACTATGCAAGATTGTCAGTACTCTGATTCTCTTATTCCATGTTGTAGTTTTCATACCACTCCAAATAAGTCAGAATATTTATTTAAAAGATCGGTAGTTTTTAGTTTTAAAGCTTTTTTTGTTTAATATAATCTAGATAATTTATACATGGGAATCGAAGTTTAATCTTGCTGAAAAATGTATATAATTTGAGTGTCCAACCTGGAGATAGTACTGTATGTGTTTTGTCGAAATGAAAAACTATCTAGCACCGCACACGTATTTTCATGTTTTAGCAGTGTTTGTTTTATTATTAAACCTAAACAATTTTCAAACACATGCTATGTGAAAAATACCCTTTTTTAAGAGTCAGAGTAAAATTGAATTAGAAACAGAATAATAGATTAAGTAAAAAATTACAACTAGAATCGGGACGAGCACTAGAGTCACCGATGAATTTAAACACTGAAAATTTCAGTCATATCGTATCACATAACTATAAGAACTAATTTTCATTTACAATAATATCATTTACATCTGTGCTTTGTGCCAACAACACAATCTGTCACACATTCAGATGCACCGGTTACTGTTGGATCGGTTACCGATAAGACCGGTTATCGTCACCGTTGGATCCCTAATCCTGAGAGTGGACGTGATGACTGAAGTTTATGCGAGAGTAAAGTTCAAATGATTTCTTAGAAATGACAAGAACTTCTGGTTTGCCATGAGTTATTACGATAAAAAATACTGTATTGTTATGAAAAGAGTCAATCAACGGATCTAGTGCAGCAGAGCTCTTGAGACCTTACTACTTTTCTGCATAAACTCAGTAGCGATGAATTGGGTGTGCTAGTGTACATATCCATGCTGATTGATATTTGCTTTGTTACCGCTGTTACTGTGAGATTGAATTATGGTGTGTTGTGACAAGAATAAACGTAACGCATCCCTGTATTTCATAGTTATTAGTCTAAATTTGTAGTGAAATTTTGATCATATGCTAACGTATTCAAGCTGTTCAGGCTACTATAGTTTATTAAAGGTTAAACAGTTCATTATCCTCATAACTACACCGAAGATTTTGAGAGCAAAGTTATGGATATTTTATCTTCCGTTCGTGGTATCAATAACAATACACATAGAATTAATATCCTAACGATGCTGATCATTTGAATAATGGCAAAGTCCCTGTAACAGGATTCCTAGTCTGTACTTTAGGAACAAATTCTGGTTCATTTTTTCACGTACTACCTCACACTTTCAGAAATTTTCTGTGTAAATAGGAGCATCGATTGCGTTAAAGTCGAATCATTTCTACTCTGATCGATGACTCCAGCTTCTGAATTCCGCGTATTTCTGATCAATACGCGCAGAAAAAAAACATCATTTCATGCCAGTTGCGGACAGAAACTTCTGCTTGATGCAGCATTGCATGATTGGCGACAAGATCCACATCTACAGCGATGTTCACACTACTATTGATTAGTTGAGTAAATTTATTTCGTATTTTATGTTACTAGCAAATTATATTTACGAGCGTCTTTTTTTCTATCTGGATTTATAGATTGCTGACCGATACATATGTACTATTACAAATTGGAAAAAATGGTTCTGTCTCTAGCGCCCTCTCCCAACTGGATTCAGATCTAATGTATCGACTGGTAAAACAACTCTATCCAATAAATAATTAAAATAATAAATATGCCTCCTTCTCTTCTTGGTGAATAGTAAACAGAGAGAATAGCGACATTTTTACCGCCGATAATGATAATCATATACTACGAATTCTAAGCAAATCGAAATTTTAAGATAGAAGTGAACGAAGAAAATAATTAAATTATATTTTTCGAACAAAACATATGACTCAAATTATCAATATTAAGATAATAAATAAATAGAAAATTTGATTTAGGAATGTATTCTTTCAGACAAGATAGAAGCGACAAATTTTTTGTTGAAATGTGCTAAAATTATGCACTTCATGTGCATTTTAAAGGTGAAGTCTATTTGAGAGGTTAAAAGTAGAGATGAGCATTTATGTCGAATGGAATTCAACTTTACATATCTTTCTTGTAAAAGCAGTTTTATTCATTTAAATTATTTCATTTTCTTCCTTTACACTTTTAAAGTGTACATACACGCTAGCACAAGACTTGAGAATATAATATCTATTGATATACATAAATTTATTTATTAATAGAATTCATATCAAAATATCTTTCATATGTTGTTTCATCACTCACATTGGCAATCGAATTCTTCTTGTCAAGGTAAAACTACACAAATAACTTATTGTTCAATAGTGAATTTTTAGCCACATTTGTCTGTGCAATCGAAACGATAGTGTATTTGCGCATATTATTATTACATCCTGATAATACTATGGATAAGTAGTCGTACAACAACGGGCTTGTAATTACAGACAATGAAAGAATAAGATCACCTGTGAATAGATGAAATCGTGTTGGTAATGATCATGATTAATAGTTTAATTACTATCAAAATCCTTTGGCGTACTATTAAGCGGTGAAAACGTTGATTGTTTCATCATGTACGCAGCCGATTACATAAAAACACTCAATGGTTTCTTATTTTTAAGTATAAGTCGATGATATTGGTTACGATGCACCTTAAAATCAACACTCCGAAATCTTTCAATCGGTAAAATACTATGCCAAATATAAGCGATTATTTCAATCTATTTCAATTTTATTTAGAAATTCTATTCATCATAAATAATGAACTCGACAAATGCTTCCTAATGAAGAGAAACCTACTGGATCAATAATAAATTTCTATGTAAGAAAGACTAAATTTTTGAGAAAATTTATGCTTGAAATTGTTCCAATAAAACGTCACTTGGATTCATGACACCAAAGATTGAAACTGATGTCTGTTGAATTCGTAAAAAGTGAATCTGTCACGCCTTATCTTCAATTAGTAGGATGCTAACTAACGATTGTAGAGACTTCGTTAATTTGTATCGTTTCAGGATGAAAGTTTGAATTGTTAGTATCGGTGAGCTCTCTACGAGATACAAGTGTAGATTGTATCAAATAATTATTTTCATGTTTAATAAGTCATTCAGACTCAGTAAGGCCCCAGACACACCAAAAAGTTAAAAACCGAATTAATCAATGGGAACGCTAGAAACGTTAAAACACCATAAGTGCATCAAGTGATCTTTCTGAGACGAATTAGGGCAAATGCACCAATCAGATATGATTTCGATTCACCAATAGAAATAAATATGTGGCGCCTTCTACATCTACGTTTTTCCGAGTGTGACACTCACGAATCTTTTTCTAGTGCATACTTTATAATTTGTTTTGCTATAGTTTTACTTCTTAAATATTTTTTTCTCTGTTTTTCAATAGTTCTAAGAGTTTTTTAATAAAAAAGAAATACATGATAAATTTTTTGTTTATGCTTCGTAATGGAATAACTTGTTCTTGATCTAATAATCTATTTTAAAATAGATTTTATTTCATTAATTTATTAACAATGCTTTTGAGAATGATGTGTTAGTAAGCGCACACGTACGTTAGCGACACTTCTCATGCATTAATAATTTTTACTATGCACTTTACATCCATGAAAGAGGCTTTTCACATTTTCATTGGTGGATTAACTTGAGAGTGTGGATGCCTGTTGAATTAAAACAAAAGAAATTCTGACGAATTTTTGGTGTGTCTGAGGCCTAACCTATTTTTGATGAAGTTCGACTAATATGCACTTTTTAAAGTTTAGTCTTTCTCTAACATTATGTGAAAGTACAAAACTTTAATAAAAATATAAATAAAAAAAGTGCAAAATCGATTTTCTTAAACAACGATTCCAACAGGGATGTGTTTTTAATCGCATGCTCTGATTTCACCCGTTGTACATTTTTGAAAAGATCAATTTAATCTATAGATACAATAATACAGAATATTTGATTAAAAAAAAAAGGATGATTTTGAGTCGAAAATGAAAGATAAGTATTAAGATTTCATTTTTTCATAATTAAAGAAAACTTTTAAAATAAATTTTGAATTGAAATTTCAAAAAATGTTAACATATTATGTTTTTCTTATTAGGAATTTGGTGAAACTTGTTGTAAAGATATTCGTGATTTGAATGATAAATTTGCTAATAGAGAATGATGAATTTTTTGTGATATGCAAATAAAATAATAAAGAAATATTGGATCAATTACAACAACGAAGAAAAAGGATTCTTTTTTTTTTCATTTTTGTTTGTCTGCTCTTTGTAATCTTATGTTTATAACATGCAAAAAAAATGAAAAATAGAATAAGATAATATTATGATATATATATATATATATCCTTTTTTTTATTATTATTAATGCATGTTGAAATCATCCAAATAAGAAAAAAATAGCAACGTATGAATCTTGAGGGTGTGCGCTAGTAAAAGTGTCGTAGTGTGCTTTTTTTCTTTTCTTTTTCTAAACAACTTATACTCATTCGCGTCGTCGCTATGATTCGCAAAGCCGTCATCACGTTTTTTTTTACAATCCATTCGATACTCATGGCGAGCTATTTTTTATGAAAAAAACGCTATTCTTCTCATCGATCGTTTATACCTTTTTTGTTATTCTCTTGACTTGTCTATATATAATGATAGGTATTAATCATTTTGTGGTCTGACGATTTGAAGAATATTTATTGAAAATGTTAGTTGATTATTTAACAAATTATTTCTATCGATAGATTGAATATCAGCATCACCTTATTTCTTTCGTACTGTTGTTGAAATAGTTTTCAAGCGTAGGTATACGAAAGAAAACAAATATAGAGCAAAAAAAGAAACACTAAGCAGAAAAAGACTTCGAGATGAGCGATATTTGCCCGTATAAGCACAGAACATCGAAGAGAAACATTTTTTTTATTGCAAAAGCAAGGGCGAACATGCGCACATGCTTTCTATATCCTCAAGCGTAATAGAAGCAAGAGGCGGGGGGGGGGGGAAGGAGAAAG